TTCAGAGAGAATAAAGAGCAAAAGAAACTCTGAGAGAGAAAGACTCGTGTGGTTTGGTTTTAAGAAGATAATGAGTCATGAGAGTGAGTCAAAATATGCTGACGTCAAAATTCTCTTTTTGAATACTTGATACCGAACCTTATTGGTAACCGCTGTAGTTTTACATTTTTGCTGTAAAAATATGATTGTAGGTTTATTTACTGTGGCTGTAGATTTTAGTGCTATAGTAATTTGGCTGTAGAATTTAAAATTTTGGAAAATTGAAAATTATGTGCTTTAGAAAAAAAAGCTTTCTACAGCAAAAAAAATGAATTAAGGAAATATTTTGGCTCTGAGAAAAAAAATGAAAGTCAAAGCTTCTAAAGCTTGATTGGATGTATTTCAAATCTTTAAAAAAATTTTTGCTTTGTAAAGATTCTAAAGCACTTGCCAATCAGACCCAACTTTTCTTTTTTTTTTGGTAATGGAGGGGGGCAAAGCCCCCATTTTATTAAAAAGAAATTACAAACTACAAACGAACATTTCTAGGGTGCGCAGACCCGTTAATATCCTCCAACAATAGCAAATTAACATTCTCAGGACATGACGCAAACAAATGAAAACCCAAATGCAAAGAAAACACATAGTTAGCCAATCCGGACCGACCAGTCCTTTGATAAGAAGCCATGGCACAAGCGTACCAGGAAGGACAACAGATGTGAATCATCAATCCCTGTCCGCAGAAAACCTACCACCATCTCAGAGTCAACCTCTACCTCCAAGCATGTAATACCTCTCTCCCAAGCTATGTATAAGCCAACTTTTCTATTTAGAAAAAAAATACAATTAAGTTATTTTTTATGGATTTTAATTTATTTTTAATTAGATTCTTTTTTACTAAGGTTTTAAAATAATTTGTAGAGTTTTGTTAAATTCAGATTATTATTTATCGTAGTTAATGAAATATTCCTAATTTTTCATTTTTATTTTCAATTTTGTATAAACATTGGAATAATATTTTCCTTTGCAAAATGTCCAACAAGTTAAGAATATGTATTCCTAAAGGGTTGGCTGATTTTTCAGCCCTATACTAATTGCAATCTCAACTTTTCAACCCAAACTTTTTGTATCTAAAAAAACCACCATAAAAAACTATAACCTCAATAAAACTACACGTACTTTCGGATTTGTTCTTAAAACTACGCCTCCAATTGAACCGATCAGTTAACCGGTAATATCTAATCCGGTTTGATTTACCCAGAATTTTGACCAAAATTAATCAATTTTGACTCTATTTTAACCCAATTTTGACCCAAAAACAAATATAAAAGAAAACAAATGTCTTCTCTATAAATAAAATTATTATTTTTATTTATTTATTTTTAATAAACAATTAAAAATAATAAATTTTAAATTAATTTTACCAAAAAAATAATATACCACGAAATAATATGAAAGTATACCACAAAATAATATGAAAGTATACCACAAAAAATATATATATAACAAATTTTTGGTCTATACTTTTGTTTATATAACAAAATATACAACAACAAAAAATATACCAAAATAGATCACAAATTATTTTTTGTGCTATATTTTGTTATAAAATTTTGGTAATATATATATATATATATATATATATATATAACCAACGTTTGAGTTTTAAAATATAAAAATGAATTTATAAGAAAAATGATTGCCAAAAAGAAAATGTATATTTTGTTATATTACCAAAAACACAATAATATATATATATATATATATATGTATATATATATATATATTAGTGTTTTTAGAAAGAAAAATGACTTTTGAATTTATAAAAGAAAAATGATTGCAAAAAATAAAATGTATATTTTAAATATCACCACAAATCAAAGTATATAATATCACCACAAATCAAATTCATTTATATATATATATATATAAAATGAATTTGGTATAATATATATATAAAATTCAAACGCATTTTTCTTTTTAAAACCACCATATATATATATATATATATATATATATAACCGACCTTTGAATTTATAAAAAAAAAAAAACTGAATCTATAAATAAAAATGAATTTATAAATATCATAATATATACTTTGATTTGTGGTGTTTAAGGATATATATATATATATATATATAAATGAGTTTTTCATATACTTTGAATTTCACAATATACAAAATTCAAAGGTCATATATTATTCTCTATAAAAAAAATTATTATATTATTTTTTGTAATATTACCAAAAGTATATACCAAAATTTTATTATATAATTCTTTTGTGGTTTATTTTTTTTTTATCTTTTTTTGATAAAATTAAGTTATAATTTATTATTTTAATTGTTTATAAAAATAAATAAATAAATAAATTTATTTATAGAGGAAACATTTTTTTTCTTTTATATTTGTTTTTGGGTCAAAATTAGGTTAAAGTATAGTCAAAATCGATTCATTTTGGTCAAAATTCTGGGTAAGTCAAACCGGATTAAATATTATCGGTTAATTGATCGGTTCAATTGGAGGCGTAGTTTTACGAATAAATCCGAAAGTATTTGTAGTTTTATTGAGATTAAAGTTTTTTTTGGTGGTTTTTTCAAAGGTAAAAAATTTAGGGTGGAAAGCTGAGATTGCAACTAGTATATGGCTAAAAAATCAGCCAACCCATTCCTAAATCAAGATAATAACTTTTTTTGACATCTTTTATTTGTTATATGCCCACGGAAAATAAAAAAATACTTTTCCGTGTTTCGTTCTCTCACTTTTGGTCAAAGAGTTGAGTCTGGGTATCTTTCGGCGCGCGTAGACTAGGATTTGTATTTGGTTTCATCTGAGCCGTTGGTAGAAGTAACCAACGGTGAAGATTTAAAAAATATAGCTTAAATTTCCAATTGCATTTAAAAAATTGCACCGTTTGAGAAAACTCGGGAACCTTTTAATTTCTTTGAAAGAGCCTTTAATCAATTTTGTCCAGTTCATGTATTTCTCGTAAATAAAATACTCGTATTGTCCCTTGAAGAATTGTTGTAGTCATTTAAAAAATTGAAAAATAAATGTGATAAAAGGAACTGAACTTATTGACCAGACAGATTCGACGGCCTTTTGCAACTTTTGTTGCTTCCGTTTCCTTTTCAAAGTCCACTTAAAATAAAGTCTTTATCGATTACCTTAGCGACAAATTGTCAATGCCATCAAGAGTAAACTACTACTGGGTTATGTGAATGTGACATTCCAGGCTCGTATTTAGCGTTGCGGTGTTTAGCACATTGATTGATAAATAAATGATGTGGCCATACATAGAACTTTCAAAAATGGAAAAAATATTATTTTACTACGAGTGTCTGTAGCTACCTTATATGGGCCTCGTACGTAACCCAAACCTTCTTTCGTTAAATCATAGTCATATTATTATTTTGTCAACCAGAAGCCCAATTGCACTTACTTTTTGGCGAAGGTTAGTTGTATTGCAAAACATTGCTTCAATGAGAAAGGTGCATTGTAGAAAACGTGTGTGAACAAATAGTCGGTAATTAGCACGAACATTGCTTCAGTTTGTACTTTGTAATATTACATTTCAACAGTGTTTACTGTTGATACAGTAACACTAAGGACCTTTGACAAGCTTTTAGATCTTATTTACTGTTGTTGCCTTTTATGTTCGGTTTCCTTCGTTCTTCTAAATTCTAACATTTTGTACGTGCAAAGGGGTCGTATCGTCATTATTCTCTGCCTTCAAATATATATGCCGCAAAAGAGGATACAACTTATAAAGTGTCCACTAAAGCTGCGGTCTTTAAGTTGATCGTTGAGGAAGATGTCCAAGAAATAAACAGTTGATGTCTTGATGATGTAGTGCCTAAAATTTAGAATTGGTTGATCCGGTCTTGTGGTGCAGTAGTTGTATTGCGTGACCGTTAAGTCATGTTTTAGCTATAACTTGTTTTTCGTAAAGGATAAATCTATATATAATTTTTTTTCTGTATATGCGTGGTTAGCTCAACCAATTGTAAGAGATTGTAAGGATAGAATACACTATAATATTATCAAACTGATATGAAATTATTATTATTTTGTCGTCAAGTAATATGAATATATATAAATTTATGACATAACATGAAATGAAAAGGCTTGACCTTGACCCACCACTAATTATTTCTCTTTCGTTTTCTTCTCTTTGTCCCCTCTTCCACTTTCACTTCACAGAGAGGATAAATTGTAATATTGCTTATAGAAAACAAAGGGAAAATGTATTCTAAATAAAAAGTAAACTAAAAATCTTGACAATGTTAATAACCTGTAATCCTAATGGACAATGCTATAAAATCATTATTCTATGATCAAAAACATGGTCAAACCCACACAGTACATGTTATTTCAAAAGCAAAATTAGAAATATCATAAATATGCAATAGTACTTATACGTGAACCTAATTAAAGACAGCTATAAAGGAGCCTTCTTCCAACTTTTTTTGTCTTGTTATGAAGAGCTATGAAGAGCTATGAAGAGCTATGAAGAGACGTTATTGTTTTTGCCCAACATCGTTTTTTACCCATTCCAATACGAGATCATGTTCAGAGATAGTTAATTTAAACTCAAGTGTAGGTAGTCTAGGGGTAAAACATCTGGTGTCTGAAATTACTATACGTACGGATGTGATCGGTTTGAACATTATTTAGGAGATCAGGCACCCATTTACGTCCCAACGGAGAGACGTTAACGTTTGGGCTTAACCATTTCAAAACAATCTTATTCGTCTTCGATTTGATATTCTTCACAAATCCATTAGATTAGTATGGTTTGTATAATGTAACGACGTAGAATCCATGATTAATTAAGGTCTACTGCATGGTTTCCTTAACTAAAAAACATATACGAATACGAATAGAACCATAAGTCAACATCTTTCCAATCACAGTCTCTCTCTCTTGATGTGCCCATATTTCTAGCTGTCAACAATTACAACCTTCTCTTTTTCATTCCATCACCTATCAACAAAAACAAAAACCTTTTATATATTAAATACTTCCACCCAAAACTCCTTCAAACAAAAATCACTTCCCTCCCTCCCTCTCTCTTTTCTCTCTCCAATTTTCTCACCAATGCCTTCTCGAAGCCAAAGATCAAGAACATATCAACTCACGAGAACAATCCCTATACTTGTTCTTCTTCTTGTCCTTTTGAGTTGCTGCAATGGAGCAAGAACCACGAACGTCTTCAACACGAGCTCGCCACCCAAACAAAAGGACGTCGTTTCGCCACCTCATGATCATGACCATCGTCAAGTACAAGATCACAAAAGTGTACAGTTCTTGGGATCACTTCCACGTCAGTTTCCGGTTCCAGCTTCTGGTCCTTCCAGAAAACATAACGAAATCGGTTTAAGTAGTACTAGGACTCAGTCTTCTCCTTGAAGTTCAGAGGTTTGATCATCAATGAATCATCCTTTTTACTTCTCTAAGTTTTTTTTTTTTTCCCCCTTTTGATTTTGGTTCAAACTGATGTAAATAGATTCCAGTTTGATTTATTTATGAGCAAAGAGCAATGCTGTGGATACATCAGCTTTATTAGTTTAATATGGGAACTTCAAATATTGCAAGTACGTTAAAGTGTACCAGAGCAGAGGAGAGAAGGGTCTTTTTGTAATTAAACAATTATTGTTCTTTTCGATTTTCCGACAAGGAAGGTTCTTTTAATTCTATATGACATTATCCTAATCGTGGATTAATCCGGACTAATGATAATTATTACAAGTCCCGATCAATTTAGGCTACAATCGCCAATCTGTTTGGTAGAATATTGATTGGTATAAACCGAGTAATGATTTAATTATTTCATATTCACTTTCTCTTCTTAAGTTATAGTAATAACAAATGGAAGGTTGTTCTACATATACTAGCATTTGAGTTGGTGATTTAATAAGTCGGATTATTCGGACATGCATAGAGAAAATATTTGGTATTTTAAAATAAACATTATCCCATAATATACGGACATTGACAAATACAAATAATGTGTGTTCGTGCGTAAAAGAATTGTCATTTCTTTAAAATAAGAAGCAATGAAAGGTATATGTTCTAACTAAAACGTGTGATTAAGATTGGACTTATATACATAGTTGATTACTTTGGATGTATCTTTTTGTTTAATTTTTGTTTCAATAATGTCATTGAGTAGTCGTTGTGAATACGATTGACCAACGGTTGCAGAGATATATTGGAGGATTTGATGTGATATCTCCTAAGAATTTCAGAAGTTCATTGAACGTTTTTTTGGGGTTAGTGAAATAGTATCATTACTCATTAGTATCTTTTCTGCATAATTTTTTAAAAATCATTCATATCCACTTGATTCTCATTCAACCTTTGAATAACTTTATTCGAATTCCATGTGATGATTTATACTTTTCATGAACAGATAGGGTCCCTTGACTCTCTTGTCTCGATTACAACTTTAGTTTACGTCATTAAAAAATAATTAGGCGTGACCTATAGATAAGCTAGTTAAAAGGTAAAACAAGGAGATTCCATAAACAGTAAAAGATATCGTCTGTCAATAAAACCTAAAACTTCCCAAAATGGATTGTATCGTATCTTTTACATCACGTTAGCTAAATGATTCACTGCCCTGTTCTTAATTACTTCTTACAACAAAAAATGGATACACTTTTAAACATCAATACTTACGTCTTACGGGTACATGTCTATCCACATATGTATAATCCAATACACACACTGACAGACATGAAGTGAAGGACTCTAATTATCCAAGTAAAGTAATTATGCTAATTGCAGCAATCTACATTTTGTAAAGCTTACACTTTTTGTTTTGGCAACGTTTGAATTCTTAACTTACTCTATAAAAACATCTTAAGCTATTGATCAACCACTTATGAATCGAATTAAAAGTACTTCCACATATATTTATTCAAATTGTTAAGATGATTTTACCATCCTTTTAAGTGACACTGCTATTTATTTACAACATATTGATATTTATTGTGGCTGTAAATGATTTATTTTGACGTCTTGTTGCCTTGCTGGTAATGAGTTTATTAGATTCTGAAATTTTGGTCACCGCTGCGATGGTGTATTACATATATTAATCATGCATGCGTGTGAGATTGAATAAATTAATAAAAAGCCAAATTGGCTGAAAACGTTGTGACAAATGCTAGAGTGTCTATATATTAGGATTGATATGCGGGCATGTGATGTGTCTTATGCATACGTGTGCACTTGTGTCCACGTGCATGTACACGTGCGGTGTACCCCGCCTTGATAGGGTCTCGATTATTTCCTATCACATATATATAGTATAGATTTAATTGTTTTGTTTTTTGTTCTGATAAAAAATATATATATATATATATATATATTTTTTTTTTCTTACCTCACAATGCAAGCGACAAACATATTCGCACGAAAGACTCGAATGTTTTGGTTAGTGAGAACATTATCGATTATATGATTTTTATATACGGATTGAATTGTATATTATATTATAACAAATATCATATGTATAGTTAGTTTTCATGTTTGAGATTACAGGCACTTCGAAAGTGGTCTCTGATTTTTATTTGATTTAGAACTTATCAGGATAAAGAGAACACATCATTGAACAGGATATAAGTTAACACGATGTAAAAGATTGTTTTTTTTAACTTATTTGATCGAACTTTGATCATGCCAAAAGATCTGTAGGTACATATCCTGACGAATTACCATCAAAACTCTGACAACCTCCGCGAATAAAGACATACCTAGAATCACCTTAAAAACACAAACACAACTACGGTACCGCAATCACATAAACACGTGTGATTCAAAATTATTTTCAGATTCCAACTCAAACCACAAAAATGAGTAAACAAAAGAAGATATATATGATTCAAGTCTTATTGTATATAGTCTGAGAAAATGTTAGGCTTTTTTTTTTGTGTGGATCATACTGGTGCTATCAGAAATCAACCGATCAAAAAAAGAAAGAAAGTTTTAGACTGTTTTAAAGTTGCAATACGAAACTTGCACTGGCCAAAATTGATTGGTGTTTCCAAAATTGTAAAGTATTCAAATTTTAAAATCACGTATAGTCTAAGAAATAATTTATACGTTGGGTAACAACATGATTTTGAACCCTCTTAACGTGAGGGATTCTTAGGACTCGAAATGGACTCGAACCAGAAAGGTAGGGACCGAGGAAGTGTGGCCGATGGCAGTAGAAGAGAAAAGTAAAACTGAGACAAAGCCATGTAAATATTTTCATCTTTTTTTCAACGTGGAGTCTACCAAATATCAAAATATAAAAAGCTTTTATTCTCTGTTACTTTAAATTAGTTGACATAAACTAAACACTGTTGAAGTTTACAAACCAGACCTAAACGATCATTCGTGACGATAATTGGATCATTTGGTCTTTAAGTTGCTTGTTGGGCCAAATTAGGTATATCTTTAAGCCCAACTATATTATTTAATTATATTCTTCCCGTCCATTGATTTTCGGTCCGTTTAATTGTTGGCGAACTAAGGGAAAACGACTCATCTAAATTTCTTAAAAAGAAGATTTGATACACACAAGACACAACATTTCCATGTGTATACCATAAGACGCAAATTCAAAATTTGCAATCAACGTAAAGTGGAAAGAGAAGAATGGTGGCTCAAATCAACTTATCTTTCCTTGGAATACAAACCACAAATGATGACGAATTTGGCTTCCCTTTGAATTTACCTTTTACCTCTCTCTTTTTGGTTTTTGGGTGATGTTATTTGACAAAAATGTTAAGAAAATAAAATGTGAATAATATTTTATAAAAGTACCCATAACTATTTTGATTATTTAAGTTGCCAACCAAGCTAGACCACTTTCCAACTTTTATTGACAAAGTGTAAGAACTTAGCACATGCTTTCCAACAAGGGATACGAAACTTTATTTCAAAAAGATTATTTTTAAAGCTTTTAATCATTCCAAAAGGTGATTAATATTTGAATTATTGGAAGTAACTTGTTTTGGACATATACCAAATTAATCTATAATATCAGTGGACATACTATATCAAGTTTAGATTCCAAGCCAATTAAATCAATATACTGATACCATTTATAGATAAACAATACAATGTCTGCACATTAATTTCTCAGAGTTTTTTTTTTTTTTTTTTTTTTTTGTTAAAAATTTCTCAGAGTTGGGTCTCATATTAGTCATATAGAACACTCACAAGGGAAAAAACTTATGAAATAATGCTTCAGAGATCCCGGTCTCTTAGTGTGCCTTCCTCAAAAGCTTTAGTTGATATGTATCTTCTTTCCATTCTGGTTTCGACCTAGAATTATAGTGTGCGGAAATTTTTAATTCATTTATTAAAATACTTGTAACATTAAAAAAAAACATCTCACAAGAACTAATCAATTATTAAACACGATTTTTCTCTCTTTCCGTCTCAACAAAAAACTTAGACAACCTTATTTAAAAATTATCAAAAATTCCATCTCACGGTAATTTATTTATTTATTTCGATAATAAATTTTAAGTCATATAAAATATATTGACAATCCGCGTTTTTTTTTTTTACATATAAATTTCATAAATAAATGGACTATTTGCCTATCTTAAATAAACGACTATTTCCGTCAATTTTCCTTAGCTGCAACAGTCTACCCGTCAAATGTTTACTAATTTTTAAGTGTTTGAAGTAGGCCTGGGAGTTCGGATCAAACCGATCAAACCGACCCGATCAAACCGACATTTTCGGTTATCGGCGTAAACCGAACAGCTTCTTCCTAACCGATCGGCGAAATTAAATTGGGTAATCGGATTTCGGTTCGGGTCGGTTCGGTATTCGGTTACCGATCGGTTTAGTCGGTTTAGGGGAACACACTATAAAAACTTAAAAACCCTAGATCTAATTCATTTCCTAGAGGTAAAAGATCTCATCTCCTCCACCCTACGATCTCCATTCTTCTTCAGTTCTTCTTTCTTCATCTCCTTCCTTCTTTTCTAAGACTCCTCTACATCTTAATTTTCTTCGTTCTCGTCTCAATCCGCCTTCAACCCATCTTGATCTTCTTTGTTCTCCTCTACGATCTCCATTCTCCTTTCTTCATCAACCTCGTTCAATGCAATCTCTCTTAAAAGCTGGAATAGGACGGTCGGAGTTTGCCGCGGCTGTCGCCGTCACCTTCATCGACTCACTGTCACCGTCACAACCGGAGCCGCAGCCGCAGCCGCTCAGCTCATATCCTTGTCAAAACCCTAAAATTTTTATTGGGTATTAATTATATTGGGCTTTTATTTGGGTTTTGTTAATTGTATTGGGCTTTTGAGTTTTATTTTATTGGATTTGGGTTTGTAATAGAGTATTTTTTTTTCTTTTCTAATATGTAAACCGAAATAGAAACCGAATAAACCGAAGAAATTAAAAATCCGGTTCATGTTCGGAACTTAAATTTTAGCCAATAACCGACCCGAATAAACCGACTTCCGAACCGACCCGAACCGAATTTCAATTCGGGTCTATTCGGTGGAATTTTTTAAAAACCGAATTTCTCCCAAACCGAACAAACCGACCCGAATAACCCGGTTTAGCCGAACTCCCAGGCCTAGTTTGAAGTTTGAATTCTCATAGACGAAATCGTATTAAAAAAACACAAGAATAAACAATTCCATAGATTTTCAAAAAACAGTCACGAGAAAAAAACCACAAAGTTCGTTTGTCTGCTATAGATTTTATTAATTTTCTATTATTAGTTTTTTGTTATTTCGAGAATAAAATTTGAACGATGTCCGAACCACAAAAGCCGAGCCAATAAATCCTAAGCGGAGCCTAACTTTAGCCGTAACGATCAGTCACGGCTCCCGGGCTAATTCATTTGAAGCGAATCGTAAATCAACGGTTAAGATCAATCTTCCAACAATCTAACGGCGCCGAAGAAGCGTCGGTGAGCTGAAAAGAGTGTGAAAGCCAGGTCACCATAGCATTGTCTCTCCCAGATTTTTTTAATTTTCATTTCGAAAATAATAAAGTAAATAGAAAAATAAAAGAGTGAGAAAAAATCCTCAGGGCTATATATTCGCACATATACTCGTTTCGCTTTCCTCAGTGTTAGCTGCTGCCGCTGTTGTTCCTCCTCCATTTCTCTCTCTTTCTCTCTCGCTGCTTCTCGAATCTTCTGTATCATCTTCTTCAAGGTCAGTCTCTAGATCCATAATCGTTTGATTATCTTCTGGTTATTGTTGATTCTCCATACCGATTTTGCTAGATCTGTTTAGCATGCGTTGAGTTTTATGAGAAAAATCTTTGTTTGGGTTTTTTGCTTGTTCTGTGATTCGATCCATGCTTGTTGGATCGATCTGAGCTAATTCTTAGGGTTTATGTGTTAGATCTGTGGAGTTTGAGGATTTTTCTCGCTCGTATCGATATGTCGCTGTTAATTTTGATTTTATTTTTCAGTGAAGTGAAGTTGTTTAGTTCGAAATGATTTTGTGGTTTGTTTGTTTGCTCGATTGATCTGGTTTTAATCTTCGATCTGTTAGGGGTTGATGTTTACACGTGAATTCTAGTGTTTTCTCTTTGAGATCTGTGAAGTTTGAACCCAGCTCTCTCAATTTTTATCTGATTCAACTCTATACCTGCTGTGATCTGATTCGTGTTTACTTTATGATTATATCTAATTGCCTTCGTTTCGTTTTGTTTTGTTTAGTGAAAAATGGCCGATGGTGAGGATATTCAGCCACTTGTCTGTGACAATGGAACTGGAATGGTGAAGGTGAGTAAGACTGTTTATTTAGCTACTGTATGGTTTCTTCTGCGTTCATTGTTGTACATGTGTGATCATGATTTTTGTATATGCACAGGCTGGTTTTGCTGGTGATGATGCCCCGAGAGCAGTGTTCCCAAGTATTGTTGGGCGTCCCAGGCACACTGGTGTCATGGTTGGTATGGGTCAGAAAGATGCTTACGTTGGTGATGAAGCTCAGTCCAAGAGAGGTATTCTTACTCTGAAGTATCCAATCGAACATGGTATCGTTAGCAACTGGGATGACATGGAAAAGATCTGGCATCACACTTTCTACAACGAGCTTCGTGTAGCCCCTGAGGAGCACCCAGTTCTTCTCACAGAGGCACCTCTTAACCCTAAAGCCAACAGGGAGAAGATGACTCAGATCATGTTTGAGACATTTAATGTCCCTGCCATGTATGTTGCCATTCAGGCTGTTCTTTCTCTTTATGCCAGTGGTCGTACAACCGGTTAGTTCTCAACTTATAACTTGCAAATCTGAATAAACATTCTGTTCTTAGTTGTTTTTGCTTAAAACCGTTCTCTTTTTGTGATAGGTATTGTGCTCGACTCTGGTGATGGTGTGTCTCACACTGTGCCAATCTACGAGGGGTATGCTCTTCCCCATGCTATCCTTCGTCTTGATCTTGCGGGTCGGGATCTCACAGACTCCCTCATGAAGATTCTCACTGAGAGAGGTTACATGTTCACCACAACCGCAGAACGGGAAATTGTCCGTGACATAAAGGAGAAACTTGCTTATGTCGCTCTTGACTACGAGCAAGAGCTGGAGACAGCCAAGAGCAGTTCTTCAGTGGAGAAGAACTACGAGCTACCCGATGGACAAGTCATCACCATCGGAGCTGAGAGATTCCGTTGCCCTGAAGTTCTGTTCCAGCCATCGCTCATCGGAATGGAAGCTCCTGGAATCCATGAAACAACTTACAACTCCATCATGAAATGTGATGTCGATATCAGGAAGGATCTCTATGGAAACATCGTCCTCAGTGGTGGTTCCACCATGTTCCCAGGAATTGCTGACCGTATGAGCAAAGAGATCACTGCGCTTGCACCTAGCAGCATGAAGATCAAGGTGGTTGCACCGCCAGAGAGAAAATACAGTGTCTGGATCGGAGGATCAATCCTTGCATCCCTCAGCACCTTCCAACAGGTAAAAATCTGGATTCGGCCTCTTTGAAACTTTCAGCTCCATTTTGAAACCTGAGTGAAAATATTGATATTTTGTTTCGTTTCTCTGTGTGAATCAGATGTGGATTTCAAAGAGTGAGTACGATGAGTCGGGTCCATCGATTGTTCACAGGAAATGCTTCTAAAGTGTCTTCTTCTCTCTGGTTCGTGGTGGTGAGTTTGTTACAAAATCTGTTTTCCCTAGTTGAGATGGGAACTGAACTATCTGTTGTTATGTGGATTTTATTTTCTTTTTTCTCTTTAGAACCTTATGGTTGTCTCAAGAAGTATTGTGTACTTTAGTTTTATCTCTCTGTTTTCTCTTCTATTTTTCTTTAGGATGCTTGTGATGAGATGCTGGTTTTTTTTTTGTCCTTAAGCAAAAAAAATATCATATTATATTTGGTCCTTGGTTCATTTTTTTGGGCTTTTTCTTTTTCTTTCCATATAAATATTGTTTGGATGTCTTCAATCTTTTATTTGTATGAGACATTTTTTTAAGTATCGGGTTGCAATGCAGTTATCATGAATCGTCGATTGTTACATTGGCCCTCTAAAATATACGTTTAGCCTATGAATTTGATAAGGAAGTGTTTACTCCAGCCAAAATCGTCTGGTTATGATACTTGATTGGATATAGATGATGGAAAAAAAAGGAAAAGAATTTGACCTATAAGAAAGCAAGTTTATTCACTAGTTAGAAAACAAATGACCTAATTTAATTGAAAGAAAGCAGGATTCAATTGCAACAGTTTAGTCGAAACCATTTTGAAAGGTTACAATGGATTGAATGTGAATATTCCATTAAGCCGCTTCTTTCTACACCAAATGTTACGTTTGGAGAGTAGCAATCATTTCCACGTTTATATCTTTTTAGGTGGACATGTATATTATTGGTTACGCCTTTGGAGTTTTTCGGAATTTGTTTATCTCAAAATCACAAAATGTCTAAACATCACAATCTGTTTATTTTCCTAACTAGTTAATTTTTTGTCCCCACCATTGGGAAGATTTGAAATGGTCGGTCCAGCCAAATCACCCAAATACTATATCGATACTTTGAAAAAACGATCCATTGGCCAACTCATATACACACACAAAATGTGTAGTTGCCGCACATACTCACCGACTTCATCTGTCTAAATTCTTAACTTTATTGTATACATTTTTCAATTGTCTATTGAATGTTCCAAAGAATCTACAGTCTTCTTTATCGATTAGCTTTCGGTCCAAACAACTAGTGTATGATAAATTGCTTATTGATAAAGTGTTAGTAGATTATTTAATATCCAAATAGATGGTAGCTAAACCAAACCAAATGTAAGAAATTTTTTGACCAACCTAACTTCATTGAATCTCCCTTTTCCGAATTAAAAATCTTTATATTGTTAGAAAATCAAGTCTAAAGTCAAAAAATTGTTTGAAGAAAAAAAAAAAATGTCAAAAAATTGTTTATGGACCTCCATTTCATATGTAGATTTTGAGGCCCCAGAAACTGTTGCTTCATAAACTGTTGCTTCATTTTATTAGTGTTTAAATGTTTTTAATTGGAAAGTATAAGTCGGAGAGTTCAATACTTTAGTTCTATTTTTGTAGTTCTTCTTGTCCCTTTTTTTTACTTCATAATTTTTATATCAAAGTTGATGTGAGTAAAAAAGAAAAGAATTTCTCTCTTTTTCGTCCATAGGCCCATACCAATATCATAGGCCCATACCAATATCAAGTAATATGTGAAAGCTATTGAATAATCCATGACCGTCGAATTTACATGGGAGAAACAGAATCTGCGACTTCTAGAAGAGAGTTCTCTTTCGTGAATTAATATATGATGCTTGATTGACAAAAAAAAAAAAATTCATGACCATAGTTTTTAACTTTTTATCTTTTATGATAAGAGCAACTGAGCAAGTCACTAAAAATGAGAATGTGATAAGATTTTGGCACCCCCAAATGAGTAGACCATTAGCACCACCAGCCATTAGTTAGTGATATTCCCAATTCTCAAAGTAAAGGCCCATTTAAGCCCAAATATCTAGTGAAAAAACACATTTGTCACCATTTTCTTAGTTCTGTTGTAAGAGGCCAGAATGTACAATGTAATACCGACATTAGGACTTTAGAAGTAAACAAATGGGAGAAAGCTAATAGTAAATTATATTATTGAGCAATCAATTATGTCAATAATCAATGAACTGTTACAAATATTCCAAAGATAAAAAAGAGACTAATCTAGATTTTTTTTTTCTAAATCCCACCAAAAAAAAAGTTGAAATACTGAAAGGTATATCAGCATATCTAATACAACATAACCCAAAACCAAAGAAAAAGTTGAAAATTTTCTTGAGAAACAAGCAATTTCTTCTTATGGAAATGAGTTTGAAAAATGAAGTAAACATTTTTTCGTATAAAGATTTTAAGGTTTCTCTGTTCTTTCCAAAACAAAAACATTCCCTTTCCCGTCTCTGCCTACTTGTAAATCTTCGTCTAAATATCTGCAAAATTTTGACAGAATCAAGGAATCCAGAACAAAACAATTTATAACGATTTTGGATTATAATCATCAAAAAGGATACGAAATCTCGAATAGTCCCTCGGGGTTGAAGATTCCCAAAAGAAGATCCATGTTCTTCCTAAATATGTTCATCAACTGATTCCACCACAAATCAAAAAAATTATCTAAACAGGAATTTGATTTTATATGTCGGAGTAATAAAAAAATAAAAAAATAAAAACAGACCTGGTCTGGCTTGATCGTTGAGCTTTCATAAGTAATCTCAACACTCTACAAAGTGCAAACGCAATTCCATCAAAACGCGACTTTTTCAGAAGAATCTGAAACAAAAAAACAAACGCAAAAAGTCGTTATTGTAAATGTACCGATTTGCTAGAGATCTTGAAGGAAGCGACGATTCTAAACTCTCCGTCGAGTAGATTCAATCCCCGGACATCGAATTTCAACACATGGACCGTTTTGCCCTTCGTTAATTGCAAAAGGAAACAAAAAAAAAAAAACAAAATCAAATTACACTTAAACGTCAACACTAATAAAAATTTCATTTTGATATTAATTTACCTGAGCAATGTCGATATGTTGAAGAAGATCACCGAGAGAGACGAAATCTCGAAGACCCAATTTGGTTCTTTTAGAACCCAATACAGTGATTGTACTGTATATGAGTTTCCAACAACCTCCGATCTTGTCTAACTCTCCGGTCGGCTCCGGTGTCGGATTCCGACATTCTAAAAGCTTAACCAATCCCTCGATCTCTGTTTTTTTATCTGACTTAACTCCGAATATCCCTCTATTGATCCCTTTTATCCCAAAACAAATCGCCCATATCAGATAAAAGAATCAAAGTATTGAAAATCAAAATTTGAACTTTTGCACCACCTAATGATTTTGGAACTATAGAGTGAATCTAATCACCTTTGAGAGCTTCGTAGAGCTCTTCTTTAATCTGGGTAACTGTAACTTCTTCTTCTTGTTCTTGTTCTTGTTCATTTGGGGAGGAAGCAGAGCTCTGTTCTGTGACTTTCCCAATGAACATGGGTCTGAGCCTAAATGATTTATCTCTAAAACTCAGCGTTTTGCTATTAGAATTGGTGAACGAGACTAACACTTTCACGTTTCCTGCTCTTCTTGAGATTGCTCCTCGTGACGCTGCCATTGATGGTGGCTGGATAAGCTTACTTGTCATTGCCAGTTATCACTCAGAATCTCTAAATCCAATGGAGCTTATTAAGAAGAAGAAGAAGAAGAAGAAGATGGGATTTGAGGAAAGAGAGAGAGAGAGAGATTTATGGGGAGGAGAATGGACAGTTTTATTGGTTATTTTATCCATCTTTTAGCATCTATCACTCCCCCACCATACACTGCACTCTAATATAAAATTTAGCAAATCCCATTATCTTTTTTCTTTTTCTTTTTTTTGAATGTCATGGTAAATTTTTTTTAAAAAAATCTCCATGTAAAATGAGAAAACTCGATTTCTGATATATTTTGCAACAAATTAAACGGATAAAGTATATGTTTTGGAAAATGTTTACACCTCATCGAAACATAGTAGTAATGCTCTGTTCTTTGTCACAAACGACCTTAAAAAAAGAAATTCAGGCATCTTTGGTTAAGGTTGCAGAGTCTTGTGACGGTGGCTTCCATTGTTGTGGAGTCTGAGCTTTCTTAATAGAGAGAGCATGAATCTCTTTCATTTCTTCTTCAAGCGCAGCATTCACCATACGGTGCCTCTCCAGCAATCTCTTCCCTTCGAATTGCTCAGAGACAACCTCGATCTCAAAACTCGCACCACATCTGCAAAAACAGTTTAGCTGAGATTAAGAAGCAAGAGATTATAACCTAAGCCGGAATATTAAGGATGCGTGATATTGGAAAATCCTGTACTTACCCTCCAGATATGTCAATGACTTCCTGGTACACAAAAAACGAACAACGTCAATAAGACAGTCCAAAAGAAGATCAAACCCTTGAACATTTTTTGATAGAAAATCAAAGCTAAAAAAAATGAAACAATTGGAACACATGAATCAAGTGAAAAGGGAAATAGATTGAAATTGACACAAGTAAAATCTCCCCATAAGAACACTCACTACTAAGTTGCTAATACATCATGAACACTAACATCATCAGATCCTGAGCTCATATCACACTATCAAATTACACCCAACTATGCAAACAAAAAACTTTTATCTCCAGTTTCAGAGCTGAAAGACAACACATATGCCTAGAGATATATAATTTCTCTAGATGCTTAGATTACAATAATATAGTATACCTCTTATGATCTAAATATTAAAGTTTATGATTTTGATCCAAGTGAGCAGGTCAAAAATCTCAAATTTGGCATTTTTTTTCAAATCCATCTTCTCCTAGGAGAAACACAAACATGTCTCTCTGTGTGTGTGCCCTTTTGAAGATACTAACTCAGGCGATTAGGGTTTCTAATTTTCCCCCAAAAGTTTCAAACCCTAATCGAGACCAATCAAGAGATGAACTTGAAAGAAGAAAGCAGTAGAAGAAAACTCACGAGATGAATTGGCTTAAGTTTCGAAGTCAGTGAAGCTTCGACTTGCTCCTTCGTCACCATCTTTCTCTTTCTCTGTCAAACAAAAATTGAAATCCCTAATCACACTTATCGAATTAGAGAGATAAGCTGTTTTTGGTTAAGAAAAATGTCGGTTTATTTTGGTTCAAGTTTTCAAATGTGATTCGATTCGGTTATCGACAAAATAAAAATAACAACTAGGGTTTAAGCTCTGCTTTCCTTTACTTCGTCTTCCTCACTCCTAAAACCCTCAAAGTCTCTCCATTTCCCTTTTATCTCCGGAGCAAAAATCAGTCCTCCGACCATGAAATTTGGATCTATACCATCCAAATCCCTTCTCTTCCGCCTCTCTTCTTCCTCCGCAACCCAATCTCCCCGTCGAACAACTACCTTTCTCGTCACCAACATTCATTCCTCTCCATTCTCCACCACCACCGGCTCCGGCTCCAATTTCGTCTCCGGATCCAGCCACTCTCCTTCTCGTCGTCCTCAGCAAGACGAAGAATCTCGATCCGTTAGGGTTTCGGTCTGGTGGGACTTCCTGAGCTGTAACTTACCTGTAGGTGTCAATGTCTTCAAAGTTGCACAATCAATCACCGCCGCTATAAGAAATAGCGGAATCAAAGGTCCAATCACAATCACAGCCTTCGGTGACGTTCTACAGCTCCCCAGATCAAACCAAGACGCTCTCTCCGCTACTGGAATCAGTCTCACTCATGTTCCTCAAGGTGGTAAGAACAGTGCTGATAGATCTTTGATCACAGATCTTATGTGTTGGGTTTCTCAGAATCCACCACCAGCTCATCTTTTGCTAATCTCTAGCGATAAAGAATTCGCAAGTGTGTTACATAGATTGAGGATGAGCAATTACAACATTTTGCTTGTGAGTAAATCATCTGCTCCTGGTGTTTTGTGTAGTGCTGCTTCGATTATGTGGGATTGGGATGCTTTGATCAAAGGAGAGTGTGTTAGTGGTAAGCATTTTAATCAGCCTCCTGATGGTCCTTATAACTCTTGGTATGGTCACTATAGGATTCCTCTTCTTGATCCATTTGCAATTGCTACCAATACTGAGCAATCGTCTAGTGTGAAAATCGAAGAACTATCCGAGTCTAGTTCGGAGTCTGTGAATTCGAATGCTGTTAACCTTCGTCCTATTCCAAAAGAAGTTGTTGACAAGATTCGTTTGATATTGAGTTTATATCCCAAGGGGGCAGCCATAACAGAACTACGTGCTGAGCTTATTAAGAGCAATTTAGCAATTGATAAAGATTTCTATGGACATAAGAAGTTTTCGAAGTTTCTGCTATCCATGCCAGATATCTTACGGGTTGCTACAGCTAATGACGGCTTGTTTATTATTCATGCTGTCACCGAAAAGAATCCTCCTATGCGACTTGATTCTAGTCCTGGCTTGTCTACTGCTGTTGATCAGAAGAGTAAAGATAAGGAAACTGCTAATGCTCCATCGCCAAAACTAATTAGCGATGTAGAACTTGCTGCTGTAAGAAGAAGAGATGGCTCAGTTGGAAAGAAGCAGGACAACGTAATGGAGAGTGACAAAATTGTCAAAGAGGAATCATCAGAGAGTTCCCAAGAGGCAATTCTGGTCGGCCAGAAGGACGTTAAGGCAAATGATAAACCCGTGGAGACGAGTCAAGTCGCTCTTGTTGCGTGGAGTGATTCGTCCATGGAAGATGGTTTTTTTCAGAAGCTAAAAAGACTATGGTATGGTTCACCTGAGATGAAATCAGAGCATCTCCCAGAAAATATGGAATCAGAGCATCTCCCAGAAAAGAAAAGTGTTTCTGGAAGTGGAGACAAATATAAAGGAGATAAGGACTTAAAGTCATCGATTCAGGGAACTGATCCCATGTCTCAAACCTCACCTTCCTTCGTTGCTGAGTCTGTTGAGGAGGTAAAAGTAGGAGCTGCTGAAGTAGACAGTAAAGATAAAGATGCAAGTCCAGGCTTTTTAGGTCGCCTTTTGAAGAGTTTCAAGTTCTGGGGAAAGAACACGGCCTCTAGCAAAGACTGTAGTGGGAATCAGGAACTGGTCAGTGTTGATTCTCAAGTACGCGACATTTTTGAAAAAGAGTCTTTCTGGAATGATGTTGAATCTTTCATTAATTCTCCAAGAGGCTTTGCTATAGTATCTCACTCAAGGACAAGGTGCTTACATTCTCTTCCCTTCTGATTTGGCAGAAGTTTGATTAGATATTGATTAATATGTAAATCTATCTTAGGTTTAGAACTATTACAATCGGTTCTTGCATTAGCCATTTGTTGTCTTTTTAGGGAAGAGTATTCAGCTAATGCTGTTTTCTATCTTAACCTGGTTAGGGAGGTGATGGCTAAAAATCTGCAGGAGGAAGGGCCTTCGTGTCTCAGACTGCTCGATGAATCAATCATGCTTCATTTAGTTACTTTACTAATATCAGATAAGAAATGGATTGAAGAAACCCCCTCTTCTTCTTTACCATTCAGAATCATCAAAGGATCTAGCCCTGGCCACCGCCATCCTTCAAACGGTTTGAGCTCAATCTTCTCGGATTCTTCAAAATCTCAGTCGCAGAAACAAAATGGGGAGAAAAGGGGAAAGAACGTTGCTCATGCTGGAGTTTCTGTTGGTTCTATGGACCGGAAACAGCTGGAAAGATACAAAAGTAATGCAATAGCGGATTGTCAGAAGCTGATAAAGAAGATAACAGAGGAACACCCTGAAGGTTATAGCCTGATTCGTTTCAGGAAAGACTTCTTAGAGGAATATGGGTACCATTTAGCGGTTGACAAGCTCGGTTACGAGAACCTACAGTCTCTAATTCGAGTCATGCATGGAGTGAGAATAGCATCTGGATACATCCTTCCTTCAACTCCTTCACCAAATACCAAGTCAAAAGAAGATGATTCGGACTTGACATTCGAAGAACTCGGTCCAGTTTCTGATGCAACAACTACGCACCCGACGACCAAAAAGCTTGCAGTATATGAACCATCTCTCTCCGAGGATGAAGAAGATTCTGGTTCAGAGAGAGATAACCCGGAGAAGAAGAAGCAAGAGATGATGAGTGGAGAAGGTAAAGAGAGCTCGTTATTGCAAATTCTGGATTCTTATTACACAAACAAAGATGGAGAATTTAAGAAGGAGAAACCAGAGGAGAAGCTTGTAAGCAACGGTAGAAAGCAAAAGCCTACAAAGACATATTCTTTTGTTAAAGATTCAGAAGTCTAGTGAGTCGTTGGTTGTTTACTGTTTAGTTAACAATCTTTCGAGAATTTGAGTTGTAATTAGTGGAAGCCGGTGTCGGGTTTGGTCTATGGTAAACCGAATCCGGTTAAGGAGAAATAAGATCAATTATGGTTCAAATACTTTTTAGTAGCAAGTCGCATCGCATGCATTTATGATTGGTTTTACTACGCGATTTTCTTAATTAAATATCGCATGGTTTCTTAATTTCAACGTTAAATGTATAAAGCATGGAATGAATAACAAAATTAGAAATGATATAAACTATGGAGTTATTTCAACATTTATTCGATTAGATTAATTGAAGAGTTTAAAAGCGATGATGACATGCTTTATGGTTATAAGTTAGGTGTTAAATAGTTCACAAACCAAAATTAGATTTGGTATATAATTGTTGACTGTTTAATGTTTATAAAGTTCTTTGAAAATAAAAATGAAATCTCGGGGATTTCAATTTGTCCCACTAGTATCATTTTACCAACTCTAGAAAAGTTTTCAATTGTTTTAATAAAGATGAATTCAAGGTTTTAATAATTAAATAGGAGTAAGAGAAAAGTATTTAATGAAAATGTGGCATACATGTGGAGTTGCTTGGTGGATTATCTTTGTCACTTGAGTCTTCTCAATGGACACTCAATTAAAAACACACACCAATAAAAGTACTTGAGAAATGGATAAAGAAAAGAAAATTGATCTTATTATTTAAGCCTAATCTTGTCTGGTTCCCTTAAAATATACCAATATTAGTTACCATTAAGACCTATGTATACATACTTTAATACAATGATTAAACAAAACAGCTCATGCGTATCCACAATGATTAGGTCAAAAAGATTAAAAAAATTATGTATCACCTTCATCATCAACCAATGGACCGACGCCATTACGGGTCTTAAGGCTATAAGACCACCATTATCCATGGGCTCTTAGCCGAATCTTAAGATAAGATTTGTGAAGAAAAAGCTTAAATATAAACCTAAAAGCTCTTATATAAAAGCTTTTTCTTCACAAATCTTAGCTTAAGATTTGGCTAAGATTCATCTAAGAGCTCATGGATAAGGGTGCTCTAACACTCGAAAGTCAAAAAGAGAAATTGTTGTTCTTTTTTTGTTTTCTATCTTCTTTCCTAAATTTAAAAGATAAGCTCGACGTTAATAGAAATGTCACTTAATAATCATTTTAACCTAAAAATTACTTTACAAGATTGACCCGTTAATTAGAAATTGAATTTACATTGACTGTAAGTCTGTAACTGATAGAAACTTGATGCTAACCGTCAATCTGCATGAAAGAAACAATGAAAAAGGTCAAATCTTTCAATAAAATTGGTACTAAACAAAAGAATCAGTTCCTAAGAAAATCAATCTATTTTCTTTAAAGAGCTAGATTTATGCACATCATTGTCTAAAAACAAAAATACAAATATGGTAAACTTGATTTTTTTTCGAATCTATTATTAATAAAATCCAAGAAAATTATGTTCTTTATCAGGAAAAAAAAAATTATATAGTAGTAACAACAAAATAGAAAACAAGTGTACCCACCAACTAATTCCAAATTCTTGAAACATATTTAGAATTCACTGTCTTCTTGTATCTCAGAAACAGAGCTTTGTTCTCTGTCTTTTTTTTTTTTTTTTGTTGGCTCTTCTTCCTCGTTTCATTTAACTCTCATCTTTCTCAATTTACCAGTGTCTACCACCTTGAGAACTACCGCCTTTTCTTGGGAAAAATCCACCTTTCTTAGGTTTAGGGATCTCATGAATGTCCATCACTTGTATAGTCCTTTGCTTTTTTGCTGGATACAAAACAAACACATGAAAAACGCAGTCAGAAAATGATCCCACTGAGTAGAGAGGTGTCTGAAACTAAAAGCGATTGAGCTTTAAAACCATTCTCGGCTTGTCTGTAGTTTTGTTGTAGCCTTTTCCGGGCTGTGTCGAAATCAACTTCCTTATGCTCCTTGTCCCTCTGCAATTCCCAAAAACCAAGTTCATCACAATTGACATATAGTATAAGAGTCTTTTAACACCGATATCAGGATTCGGTTTGGTAATGTACCGGAATGGTTTGTTGAGAAGGAGAAGGGCGAGAAGGTTTAGCCGGAGAAGGAGATTCTCTCCTAGGTGGAGGAGCAGCAGCAGCAACAGGTCTTGGTTTTCTCTCTGGCTCGGTAATGTTACTGTTCTTGCTTGAACTGGAATACCCATCTGTTGAAAACCGGAAAAGGAATAAGCTTTACGGATTCAAAATGGTGAAAAGATCGAAATGCTGTAGTCCTTGTTCAGCAACTTACTCTGAGGAACCGGTGAATATCCGAAATCAGGCACCTGCCACAGGAGAAACAGATAACAAATGAAGCTCAATGACTAACCAAGAATCGAAAAGAGTATCGGATTTTTTACCTGTTGGCGATTACCGTTATGGAGAGCTTTCTGCACCGGTGAATCCTCATCGGCTACATTGGAAGAGATTGATTGTTCTGAGATTGATAAGAATGATGCTTGTTCTGAGATACAGAGTTTGTATGCTCTTTACCTATCAAACTCGGAGGTTCAAGATCACCAGGCTGGTTAAATTTGACCCATTCGTCAACTGTTTCCTTCCATTTTCTGCAAAGAAACAAAGTAGAGTGAAGAATTAGAAATCAAGAGTGGTTCTTCATAGTTGAATTATGAGCAGAAAAGTTGTCTGAATGTGATCGTAACTTGACAAGCTGTTTAGCTAATCTTCGAACATTGTTAGATGGATGCTTCCGAACTCTATTCACATGCCTCCCAATATCAGTTTCCTAAGTGATAAAAAAAATCATAAACTTCAAAAACAATCAAAACAATTGAAGAGTGTCCTTATTGAATCAAGTTACACTACCTGAAGAGCTTGGAATGTTATGTCCATATCTTCCAGATTCTGAAGCAACTCAACTAAAGATTCTTCAGACTGAAACCACAAACAAAACAATCCTGTCTTCAAAAACCGGAAACAGAAAATCAAGATCCAAGTGGAAAAACATTAGCAAACCAGATCAGGATCTTCAAGTTTCTCCTTGATTTCAAGAATACTCTTCTGCTCATCATCAAACAAACCAGCAAAGGGATCGAAATCGTCATCGTCTTCAACATTAACAGATTTCTCTCTTACTTCTTCTGCTGCTGCTGCTGCTGCAGCAGCTTCTTCATCTTCCTCCTCCGTCTCCTCGTGAACCCTCCCATTAACCCTACCAACCGCCGCCTCCGTAACGCTACCTCCGCCGCCAAAATCGCAGTTTCTACACTTGTTAGCCATGGACGTAGCGTAGAGACGCTCGACGATGTTATCTCTCCGACGCTTGAGCTCTTGACCATAGTCAAGAGACGCAACGAGAATCGCCGTGTCGATAAATGTCCAAACATCAACACCTGCGTTATCCATAACCGATCGGAAATCGTCCAAATCCATTATTACCCTCTTCCCCAAATTTGGTTACTTTATAAAGAATTCAAAACAAAAAAACAGAGCAAATCGAATTACGTAACCAGATCTAAAAGATAAATCTTTTGATGAATTTGATTCATCGGGGATTAAAATCGTGAAGAACCAAACAAAGTTTAGATTCAAATAGTTAAAAGATAGACAATTAAAAAACAAAAACAGAAGAATCAGATTGGTAAATTCAGATTAAAAGGAAGACCCTTTACTGTTACGAGGAAGAGCGAAGAAAACAGAAACAGAGGAAGTCTCTCTCTCACAGTCTCACATAAGATCAATATGGAAATGGGAAAAAAAAAAAAAAAAAAGGAAGGAAGAAGAATGGGAATATTCCAAATTTGAGGCTTTAGAATTTGGTTTGGGGGGTTATTGCTTTTTCTTTCATTCTTCTGCAAGTTTTTTTTTTGGTCCGTTAATAATAATATTCAGACAGAATCAATTAACAAGTAAAACGAGTTTTAGGACAAAAGTAAAAGAAGAAAATGGGAATTGCTTTATTGAGGGATACTCTTGCCCTGGACAGAGCAAAGCTAAGCAAGTTGGTTTGTTGTGGTTGGGGAGATGAACAGCTCTAGAGAGAGAGGGGTGAGTGTTTTTCTTTCAATAATGGCGTTTACTTTTTTTGGTTTTTCTTTAATTGGAGAGTAACATTTACATGTTTCGACATTTTTGCTTAATGGGCCTCTAAATTTTTGGCCCTATAGTAAGTGGACCCATATATCAAATCAATATTTTCATTCGGTTTCTAAAGTGTTTCATGACATTTTTTTAGGCCAAAAGCCCGTAATCTCTCCAACATGAACCACTAATCGTTTACTATTTTTTTTTTTTTTTTTATATACCCGATCGGCTGATCCGGTCAGCCTCGATAGGAACGCACCGGAGTGCTACAGAGTGGACTCACTACCACCCCGAGGGATGGGCTACCACACTGCCTGATCCAAGTTTGGAATGCTTTCCGACTAATGCCAGGGGGTAGCTGGATCGCCTGTTACCAGACTACCATGTAAACTGTCTGGGCCGAAGCCCAAGCCTAGACTTCCCAACAAAGTGTTAATAACAGCGAGGGAGGAAGATCGAACCCGGGTTCGGGGATTTCACCCTCAACTCCGGACTCGCCCTACCACTCGCCCACCACCTTGCGGGCTCGTTTACTAATTTTACTTCGATCCAAACTCCAAAGAGAGGATGACAATCTTAGGTGTTGAAGGAGGTGTTCGATCCACCAAAGTTCACTTTCTTAGAAACTAAAGTTTATTTGTCACTTGTTGTTTAAGTTTAGATGAACAATAAGATGTCTTTTATGCATGCAATTATTGATTTTTTTTACATCTTACAATATTTACATTAAATTTTATATATATTTGAGTATATTTATACTTAGTTTGGGCCCCTTTTTTAATTTTTTTCTAAAAAGCAGACCTTATTTGCACTAAAATGTTTTTAAAAATGGGCTATGTAAGAAACTTTTTAAACAAATTGGACCCTTATGTTGAAGAATTTTTTATTAAACTGTGATGGGCCCTTGAACCGATGCTCCGATGTTCTTCTTAGAACCACAAACGGGTAAAATCAGGTTGAATAGGGTAAAATCTTTTTAATGGTCTATTGATTGATTAGAGAGAAAATGTAGAGGACAATTATCAATGAAAAATATTTATACAAGAAGAATGCTATATTTTCTCTCTATCAACACTAATATTATATCTATATTGCTCTCTCATCATAGTAAACGGAAATATATGTCTACACGTAGATGTAGAAGATCATCTATGAAGTAGAGAGAGTCCTCATCCCTCAAATCTGTCCATGACATCGAAAATAGTCTGCACAGCCGTAAGTTTCACCTTCCACAATCGTCGTATGTGTGTAATTCGGTAAACTCTTGACTTGGCTTCGACCTGGCACTGAAGTTGTAGTTAATATCATCGCTCAGAGGGACTCTACCCTTGGGAATACAGCTGCCCAGATGGATAGAGGCTAGCACAATCTTTGCGTTTCATGGTCATTCCTTCCTTGGTATTACTTTGATCATCATATTTCATCACTCAAAAGGATTAAGGAAATTAAATAAGACTCACATATTTTGATTCAAAAGATTTTGAACAAAACAATTAATACGAGCGAAAGAAAACTACAACATAATTCCTACATTTTTAACTATAAAGAATATTGAAAACGTAAGCATGTCATTGATGGAGAAATAAAAAGGAGAACAAAAAACAACATATTCAAGCTACGGTTAATGAATTTTGAGACAAGTACATAGTTGGGTAAGATCAAATTTCAAATTAAAAGCAAATGAGGACTAAAAGATACGTGTTAGGTGTAATACTAATGTGTACATGTCTTGTACATGCACAAATTATTTTAAAAGGAATGAAAGACAATTACGTATCTATATATACATTTTTGGATGACTTTTAGCAAATAAATCCTGGAGTTGGAATGTATTTACGGATGAATGCCATTGGCATTAATTATTTAAATTTGAAAAATATTAATTAAAGATATTACCAACACGATTTCGAGAATCATAAATTCATATCTTCCTTAATTTTCTGAATCATTAATGTGATAATCTTTAGGAAATATTTTTCTGTAAAAAAAAAAATCCACATTAATGAAGGCATTAAAATCGACACTAACAATTAAATTATTTAGATATTCAATTATTTTAAGATTCTTATATCTTATTTGATATTTTTTTTTAATATCTCATTCTTTAATTACTGCGTTTAGAATTTATTGGTTGTTACCTATTTTTTGGTGAAATTTATTTGTTGTTACTTAATAAGTAATTATGGTGCGGTTATTTTAGTTAATATCTAATTTAAAGGATTTGTTTTCTTTTATTATTAATAAACGAATAACATGTATAGAAATAAAAGATTTTTCTTGCGACTCTATAATAAAAATATTAAACTCTTATTTTCTACATTTCTTACACATAATATCCTCTTATTCAATAACAAAAAATATATATTGCATATTTTTAAAAATATTTATAATATTTAAATTATATAAAAAGTTTGTAATATTAATATTATTTCAACTCTATACAAATTTAATATATATGTATATATACCTTATGGGAACCATTTAAAAGAAATTTTTATATATGTTTAATTTCACGGGACGGGTAATATGATGGGACGGGTTTGGGTTGATATTTATAAAAGATAGTATACCACGGGTGAAATCCTAAAATTAACAATCAAAATAATCTATCAAACAAATTACATTTTGATTTTTTTTAAGAAAATAACTAAATGATGTTTAATTTCACGGGACGGGTAATATGATGGGACGGGTTTGGGTTGATATTTATAAAAGATAGTATACCACGGGTGAAATCCTAAAATTAACAATCAAAATAATCTATCAAACAAATTACATTTTGATTTTTTTAAGAAAATATAGCCCCGCGGTGTACCGCGGGTTAAAATCTAGTTAAGGTACATGAACGAATAGATAAATGACATTAATATAGGCATTGTCCTACATTGAAGTTGTATTTTATCTTGACGCTCAATGCTTAGATTTCTCACTGTTTTGTTTTTCTTTTTTTTAATGAAAGATACAATCGTTGCCAACGCAATTCTCTCTTGTTTGCGTTAGCGATGTTTCTTACTTTCAGCGATGTTTCTTTGTGATTTAAGAGTCTCTGATTTGGGATTCAGATGATGTGATTTAAGGTTCTTATACGGGCCAATAAGGACTTTGTGAGTTATGAGAAGGCCCATTAAATTTAACAAAAAAAGAAGGCCCGTTAACCAGAAAATAATAAAAAGATTCGAACGAACGTGTATAATATATCCATCCAATAACCGACAAAAAAATGTATACATCCAATAAAATAATACTAAAGTTTTATGTATAGTAATAAAAATTAAACAATTTTAAAACAACCCTAAATTATTTTACCCCATTTTCTTCTTTCTCTTTCCCTTGTTCAAGCTGGGTTAAAATCCGGCGACTCATAGTCACACATTCGTCGTGTTTTTTTCTCCGGCCAGTACCCGGTATTGGTGTCGTCGGTAAATTCCTCGTCATTGGTCCTTTTCTCCGGTCAGCCACAAGAGATTTCCTTATATTCCCAACTTGCTGTGGAAGCTGGTACATCTAGAATGGTATACTCTTCGATCCTTTTGCATTTTGGGATTATGATAAGTGAAAGGCACTGACCCTAATTTCACCATGTTTTGGAATTACAAATGCTTATATAATTGCTTTGTGGTTCTCAGGATGCATTTAGAGATGCTATATTGCAACGAGCTCCTATTGAAACCTTTGCACTCAAGACTGTTCAAGAGTTTATACAACCTCAGGTAACTCTTGGATTCAACTAACACTGTCTTCACACTTCAGTGTATGTGTTACTTTAAGTCTTACTTGTTGTATTTGTCATATAATTTGTCAGAAACAAACAAAGTTGGCTCAAGATGAAAACCAAATGCTTGAAAACATGCTCCGGACATTGCTGCAGGAGCTAGTGGTCTGTTCTTTCTCCACTATATATCTTCGTGGTATGCATATGCTTGTTGATTTAGTCATTTTGATTTATATATGTGTGGATTTCTCTTTGTGTTTTGGGGGGTTTCAGGCTGCTGCTGCGCAATCAGGAGAGCAAATTATGCAGTATGGTCAGTTGATTGATGATGATGATGATAATATACATGGCCAGATTCCTCATCTTCTAGGTTAGCAATTTGTTTCAAAGCAACCTGTCTTCTCTGATTTGCATAGTTCGATTAAATAGGTGCAAGTGTTGTGCCCGTAAAACATCTCATTCTCTTGTAGTCTATTGCTTATTGTCTCATGCTTGATGGTTGCTGAGTACGTTCGTTTTGTTTCAATTGGTTTGTTTAGATGTTGTGCTTTATCTTTGTGAGAAAGAGCATGTAGAAGGTGGCATGATATTCCAGCTGCTGGAGGATTTGACGGAAATGTCTACTATGAAAAACTGTAAAGATGTTTTTGGTTATATTGAAAGCAAACAAGATATATTGGGCAAGGTATTTCTTAGATGAAATCAATAGTTTCCTGTGTTAATTGTATGAGTTTCTTGTATTTTGACTTGGATCTTGCAATTATTTGCAGCAAGAGCTTTTTGCACGTGGAAAACTTGTAATGTTGAGGACTTGCAACCAACTTCTCCGGAGACTCTCAAAGGTTCGTTATCTGCACCCTTTTCTAGTTCCCTTTGTCGAATATCCACAAGTCATAATCTACTTTTTTTTCAGTTATATAACACATCCATTCTTTTTAATTCCCTTTTTTTACTTTCACAATCTGGCATACAGGCCAATGATGTTGTATTCTGTGGAAGGATTCTCATGTTTTTGGCTCACTTTTTTCCGTTATCTGAGCGCTCAGGTAAGAAGGGTTTCTCGTAAGTTTGCATATACAACTCTTTGGTACGTGAATGTCTATAAGTTGTGTAACGTTTACTTGCGTGACTTTTTCTTGCAGCCGTGAATATAAAAGGCGTTTTTAATACATCTAATGAAACCAAATATGAAAAAGATCCTCCAAAAGGCAAGTAATTTTTTTTTCTTATGCTTTTGGTCCTTATATCCATAGGACAATTCTAAAACGTGTTACTTATTCTGTCTATGTCATTGCTTCTCAGGCATTTCTGTAGATTTCAACTTCTATAAGACATTTTGGAGTTTACAGGTGCGTATTTGTTAATTGAACTTTATAGGAAATGACTGTTACGCCTTTATCATAAGGATTGTCTCATAGAACCTCTGTTTGCATATCATGCAAAATCGGCATTACTGGAGATAGCATCTCAGTTTTCCTTTTGTTAGTTAGTTTATTGAGATAGTTCTTTTCTTACTGAGAAATCTGTTTCGTTTCCAGGAGTATTTCTGTAATCCCGCTTCTCTTATTTCCGCATCTACCAAGTGGCAGAAATTTTCATCCAGTTTGGCGGTATGTGATCTATGGTTTTTGGCTAAAATGCATTACCTGGTCTTATATATATTGAATATGCATAGAAAAATCATCTCAGACTTCGTTTCTTGAACTGCCTATGTAGGTTGTTTTAAACACCTTTGATGCTCAACCACTAAGCGAAGAAGAGGGAGAGGCTAATAGTTTGGAGGAAGAGGCAGCAACTTTTAATATAAAGTACCTAACAAGTAGTAAATTGATGGGTTTAGAGGTAAGTATGCTGTGGTTGCACACGCACACACACACAAAACTTCTGAACTTAGCAGTTCACTCACTTTTTTTTCTACCTTTCGTCACAGTTAAAGGATTCGAGTTTCCGACGACATATTCTTCTCCAGTGCCTCATTATGTTTGATTATCTAAGGGTAAATGTCTCTCAAGAATTATTGCACGGAAATTACTCTCTCTGGTATTCTGGTATAACTGACTCCTGTTTCCTTTTAGGCACCAGGGAAGAACGACAAAGATCTGCCATCTGAAACCATGGTCAGTGTTTTTTCTTGTTTAATGAGAAAATGTCCTCTTGCTTTCTTTCAAAGATTCACAAACCTAGTTTATATCTCAGTATTCGGGGTTTTATGCATAATCACTCAAAGGTATTTTTTTATCTTTTCGGTCTAGAAGGAAGAACTTAAGTCATGTGAGGATCGTGTAAAGAAATTGCTTGAGATCACTCCGCCTAAAGGGAAAGAATTCCTCCGTGCAGTTGAGCATATACTGGAGCGCGAAAAGAATTGGGTATGTGTGCTGCTTTCTCTCTTACCTGCTGCATGATTTTTCTGGCTTGTAGTCGAGGGTCGTTAATGAGCTTCTACAATACACAAATAACAGGTCTGGTGGAAACGTGATGGATGCCCACCATTTGAAAAGCAACCGATAGATAAGAAATCACCTAATGCAGGGCAAAAGAAACGGTAGGGGGAAAAGCTGACCTTGTAATCTAACTGTTTCATTCTCATGTAATCGCCTAACTAGATGGTGTCAGCCATTAGAATTTTAGAATATGTTAAGTGCAAGATAAGACGTTTTGTCCCTGGTGATCTCTGGTCACTAGTCCATTAAAGTGAGAAACAACTAATAAATCTACATTACGAGTATTAAGCTCCATATGGGTTATGCTTTTACAGGAGACAAAGATGGAGATTGGGCAATAAAGAACTCTCCCAACTTTGGAGATGGGCTGATCAAAATCCGGTATGCATTACTTTTCTTGCATCCTTGTTCGTTGTTCATATTATGCCACATGCTACTCCAGTCTCTCCTCTCGGATCGATCTTCAAATTATGTCTCTAAAATATTTGTATCTCTGATGGCATAACAGAATGCTTTGACTGATTCTCAACGTGTCCGAACCCCTGACATTGCAGACTACTGGAAACCATTAGCAGAAGATGTGAGCTAACATATTGTTTTCTTTATTATTCACGAACAACATTTTCAAAAAAATGGTTGATGTCTAATTAGTACATCTGGTTTTGTTAAAATCTCAGATGGATCCATCAGCTGGCATAGAAGATGAGTATCATCATAAAAACAACAGAGTATATAACTTTCCTCTGATTTACAACTTTATTTTTATGATGCTTTATTGAATCAGTCTCAAGGCAGATTATTGTTACTGTTTTGATAGGTTTACTGCTGGAAAGGTCTTCGGTTTACAGCTCGGCAAGACCTTGAAGGATTTTCTAGGGTAAAATGTTCTTCGATTTCGATTTTCTCAATGCTTCATATGATTGCTTTTTAAAACATTTTTCTATCTTTTTTACAGTTTACCGAAATGGGAATCGAAGGAGTTGTCCCAGTTGAACTATTGCCGCCTGAGGTCCGGTCTAAATACCAAGCTAAACCGAACGAAAAAGCCAAACGAGCTAAGAAAGAAGAAGCCAAAGGTGGATCTCAGGAAACAGAGGGAAACCAGATTGGTGTTTCTAATAGTGAAGCTGAGGCTGAAGGAGGAAGGGGTGATGCAGAGACGATGGAGAGTGATGCTATTGCAGACACTCCTACGCCTGAGGAACAACAAAGACTCGGTGGTTCTGACACAGAAAACGGTCAAGAGGCCGGTCAAATCGAAGACGCAGAGACAGAAGAAGCTGGTTTGATGGACACTGATCTTGATCACCCCCCTACGCCTGTCTCATGAGTCTCGACCTTCATGGAACGGTGAAGCCTTTGGATATGAAGTTAAAATGTATTGATGTTTAACAAATTATGTTAAAAGTATTTTTCTAAATATGTTTGTATGAGTGCAATCTTGAAGCTTATAACATTGTTTTCCATTTCTATATACGCAATAAAATCATCATACATTTAAGTTCTTTTAGGTAATTTATCGTCTGAGTGTAATTTATCATCATACATATTCATAGCTAATAAACATTGGATTCTGTCGCAATCCACTAATAATTACACACTTTAACAAACAAAAATAAATCAATTACTATAGGAATCTATAGCTAGATATGTCACTATAAGCTATCAACACAAACTTTATGTTTTGTCATCAATATTTTTAGAATATAGATGAGTGGTTTTAAGTCATGTCACGATTTTAAGTCCGTAAACACCACCGATCTCCATATAATAAGGTTTCATCACGCCAAATTGCCAATAATACGTGAAAAATATATCAGTTCACGTTGGTGAATTTTTTAAACTGATTTGATTATATTATTACTACCTCCAATCATTGAAAATGTATATACTTTGTTTAGTCGTTTGTCAATGCAAATCAAATCACCTTATAAATTTACCCCAAACACTATTAAGTTGTTTATGCACTGTCACATAAGATCACAGTTGTCTAATAGTCGTTGCACTCTTATGACAAAAAAAGTGTCGACTCATATTGAAACAAAAAAAAGAGTAACAGTGTTGGCACACCGATGAGATAAAGAATCGACCAAGAGACAACAGAGTGATTTGTGTTGTCAACGACAAATGAAAAGTTGCCTATTTGTTACTTATCGTTTGAATACAAATCGTATTACGATTTAAACATATATTATTATCTAACTTTTTTTAAAACATGATTTATTAACTAAGTCATTTAATTATTGTAATACAAAAGATTTTTGCTGAAACAACAACATGCTACTTTTTCATCATTTTCCCGGAAGAAACTAAAAAAAACATGTGGCACCGACACTTTTCTAATTTTCTATAAGAGCATGTGGCCCAAGGAATTGGAAACAAACAGTACCTACAACAATGCATTCTAATCATAGATATTATTTTTATAAACATTCGTCTTTAGACTAATATTAGCTTAACACTAAAATTGCATATGTTTTTATGTATGAAAAGATGAACTCACAGCTTTATTAGTACTTTACTGGAAAAAAAACTTGATTACTAGCAGGTTAAAAACATCATATATTGTGATTTCATTTTTTAAAATAAATATATATGCAATTTTAGTGGTAAGCTATTATTGTCTAAAAATACGTATGTGTTTTTTCTTGACTTAACTCTTTATACTACATACAGGGCCGGCTCAAAAAAATTAAGAATCCTGAGCTGAAAAAAACAATTGGCCCTAATTTCTTATGTATATATATAAAAAAAAAATTTTGGACCCTAATTTTAATAAATTTAATTGAAAAAAAAGACAAAAAAATTTTGGACCCTATGCATGAGCACTCTCCGCACATGGGGAGAGCCGGCACTGACTATATATATATATATATATATATATATATATATTGTCGGCAAATGTATACATATGGATGTATGGCATATAAATATAATGTGATATGATAGTCTCAATAATTTGCACATTGTTTTCCAATTGTACATAATATTTTGTGGTCAACAGTACATTAAATTTTATATGCAAAACAGGAGAAAAGACAAATGGGAAAAATAATGGTGGGTGGAGCCAAATTTAATTGTATCTACACAAGAGTTAGTGAATAGAATTAGAAAATTTAAGTCTGTATCAAGGCAAAGGAATGATATATAGAAAGATATTCCCTGGACATTTCTAATATTATATTTCAGGTAAATATATAAAGTACATTAATAAAGCACACTTAAAAGTTAAAAGTTAAAACAAATGTGGTCAACATCCTCTAAGCAATATAAGTATAGATTTTATTTTTGTGAATCTATTTTATTGTGATTAGTATAGTCATGACTCATGAGACAGAAGAACAAATATATAAAAAAAAAAACTAAAAAAAAAGAGGAAGACAGAAGAACAAAATACAGGGAAATAATAAATGAAAAGGGTGATCCAATGTTTACCAAATGTATATAAAATTTTCGTCCTTTTCCGATAAAAAGAATCAGTGAGTCATTTAATTTTTCTTACGTCAATTTAAAGTCAATTTATACAGTAGTATATTTTAAAATTTATGTTTCTAATTTATACGTACTCTGAAATTTCATTTCTTTTAAAACATTTTTACGAAATTACCAACTGTTATTGGAGTGGAGGACAGAGCGCCAAGCGACACACTTTTACTGGGTCCCACACTATTTAATTCATTTATTAATATATTTTTTATGTGATTTTTCTTTTTTTGTTTAGGTAGTTTCTGTGGTTTTCTCTAACTTTGGTTTGGTAGTTGATTACTTGAGGAGGTACTTCAAAATCTTCCGTCTCTGTGTCTCTCTCTCTTCGTCTTCTTCATTACGCGTCTTCTTCTTCTTCTTCTTCTTCAACATTTTGCCCCTCTCTCTTTAATTAGCTGCAGCTCACCTTTCACTATCTCTCAATATCTCTTTCTTCGATATTTATTGTCAACTTGTGTGTGTGCGTACATTTGGAGAATCAGTAAACAGTTTGGATTCACTCAAATACCTACCTTTCACCTATCTTCTTCATTGCTTCTTTAGAACAAACTAAGAAAATCTTCTGAGATTCGTCTTCAAAGCTTGTTATTGCATGTTTTGATGGGAGTTGTAACGACTGGATCTCTCTGGACCAACGAGTTGGGTTGACTTGACCTCGGAAGTTACCTCTCTCCCTCTCTAGAGATTGCGTGTGTGTCAGTTTACTCTTTTGTCGGTAATATGAATACTGGTGGTCGGCTCATCGCTGGTTCTCACAACAGGAATGAGTTCGTCTTAATTAATGCAGACGAGAGTGCCAGAGTAAGAATTTATCAAAATTGAAGCTTTTTCACTTCTTTCTCTCTGTTTTAATTTGCACACATTGTTTCAATTTCGTTCTTCTGTGTAAAGGTTTTGCCTTTATCTTCTTCTGGATCTGGGTTTACATTTACTCGTTAAATTATCAATTAGGGTACACGATTCCAAAATTCTTACCTACTTTTATCAATATGTACAGTGAAAGTTTGTGTCGGTGGGGATTGAATTCTGAGTTCTAGTGTGTAAAATCCCCCAAAGAACAAGATTTTGAGTTAATTGCTAGTGAATCTTGTGTTGTAATTGAGAGATCCAATCTATGTTTGTTTCTCACAATTCTGTGCTTATGCTGATTCAATACAGATAAGATCAGTGGAAGAGCTAAGTGGGCAAACATGTCAAATCTGTGGAGATGAGATAGAGCTGAGTGTTGATGGAGAGTCTTTTGTGGCATGTAATGAATGTGCTTTCCCTGTCTGTAGACCTTGCTATGAGTATGAGAGACGAGAAGGAAACCAATCTTGTCCTCAGTGCAAAACTCGTTACAAGCGCATCAAAGGTGACACTTTAACTGTTTCATTACTTATGGATGGGTATTTGACAGGTGTGTTTATATCTCTGACAAAGGTTTCTAATTGGTTTCAGGAAGTCCAAGGGTTGAAGGAGATGAGGAGGATGATGGAATTGATGATCTTGATTTTGAGTTTGATTTTAGTAGGAGTGGCCTTGAATCTGAAACTTTCTCTCGCCGCAACTCCGAGTTTGATTTGGCCTCTGCTCCACCTGGCTCACAGATCCCTTTGTTGACTTATGGAGAGGAGGTTGGTTCATATTTTCCATAGTTGTTCTGCCTCTTTACTTCCCTTTCTTGGCTCATTTGGTTGCTTTTTTGTAGGACGTTGAGATTTCTTCTGATAGTCATGCTCTCATTGTTTCTCCATCACCTGGTCATATCCATAGGGTTCATCAACCTCATTTTGCTGACCCCGCCGGTAAGTTTTGTTTTTCTGATTTGGGGTGACGTGTTTTGATTTCCTGTTATTGTTGTTTGTGGTTACTGAGCTATTGGTTTGCTATGTCACAGCACATCCAAGACCAATGGTACCTCAGAAAGACCTTGCGGTCTATGGATATGGAAGTGTTGCGTGGAAGGATCGTATGGAAGAGTGGAAGAGAAAGCAGAATGAAAAATATCAGGTGGTTAAACACGATGGAGATTCTAGTCTTGGAGACGGAGATGATGCTGAAATTCCCATGTATGATAGACAAATCTTTCAGAAAAAAAACTGTCTTTTGTCATGTTTCACAGCTTTGCTTTGATATTTACGAGTTTTTTTTTCTTTTGCTTTAGGATGGATGAGGGAAGGCAGCCTCTGTCTAGGAAAGTACCAATAAAGTCGAGCAAAATAAATCCGTACAGGATGCTAATCATTCTCCGTCTTGTGATTCTCGGTCTCTTTTTCCACTACCGTATTCTTCACCCCGTCAATGATGCTTACGCCTTGTGGCTAATATCCGTGATATGCGAAATATGGTTTGCGGTTTCATGGGTTCTTGATCAGTTCCCTAAATGGTATCCTATAGAAAGAGAAACATACTTGGACCGGCTCTCATTGAGGTACGAGAAAGAAGGGAAACCATCTGAACTAGCTGGTGTGGATGTTTTTGTGAGTACGGTGGATCCGTTGAAAGAGCCTCCGCTTATTACAGCAAACACTGTTCTGTCTATTCTTGCGGTTGATTATCCGGTAGACAGGGTTGCTTGTTATGTATCTGATGATGGTGCTGCTATGCTTACCTTTGAAGCCCTTTCAGAAACAGCAGAATTTGCAAGGAAATGGGTTCCTTTCTGTAAAAAATACAGTATCGAGCCACGTGCTCCCGAATGGTACTTTTGCCACAAGATGGATTATTTAAAGAATAAAGTTCACCCTGCATTTGTAAGGGAACGCCGAGCAATGAAGGTTTGTTCATTCTTGCTCCTATATACGATAATTTGATAAGAAATTTTGGTGCTTATTGAAATAATTGCCTTTTTCCTGGCTACAGAGAGATTATGAAGAATTCAAGGTTAAGATCAATGCTTTAGTTGCGACTGCACAAAAAGTGCCTGAAGAAGGTTGGACTATGCAAGACGGTACTCCTTGGCCCGGTAACAACGTGCGAGATCATCCTGGCATGATCCAGGTTAGATGCATTAAGGCTTTAACTGTTTCTTTTTGTTCTATGTGCTGTTTGTATACTTCCAAGCTTACCTGTTTATTTTCTTGCTTTTTCTTGTAAAAAGGTTTTCCTTGGAAATAATGGTGTTCGCGATGTAGAAAACAACGAGTTGCCTCGGCTGGTTTATGTTTCTCGTGAGAAGAGACCCGGATTCGACCATCACAAGAAGGCTGGAGCCATGAACTCTCTGGTAAATAATTATGCTCAACTCTTGAATGTATTCTTTGAATTGATTAATGATATATCTTTCGCTAACTTCCTGACTCTGTCTTTCATGTTGCCGTATTTAACTGAAGATACGAGTTTCTGGAGTTCTATCAAATGCTCCTTATCTTCTAAATGTCGATTGTGATCACTACATCAATAATAGCAAAGCTCTTAGAGAAGCAATGTGTTTCATGATGGATCCTCAGTCGGGAAAGAAAATTTGTTATGTTCAATTCCCTCAAAGATTCGATGGGATTGATAAAAGTGACAGATACTCTAATCGTAATGTTGTATTCTTCGATGTAAGTACACCATTCTCTATCACTACATCCTTTTCTTGAGTTATTAATCCGCTCTTACTTACCAAACTTTTGATCTTGTCATTGTCAAAACAGATTAATATGAAAGGTTTGGATGGATTACAAGGGCCTATATACGTTGGAACCGGGTGTGTTTTTAGGAGACAAGCACTTTATGGATTTGATGCCCCAAAAAAGAAGAAGACTAAGCGTATGACTTGCAATTGCTGGCCTAAATGGTGTTTGTTTTGTTGTGGTCTAAGAAAGAATCGTAAGACAAAGACAACTGTTAAGAAAAAGAAGAACAGGGAAGCCTCAAAGCAGATACACGCACTAGAAAATATTGAAGAGGGCACCAAAGGTAAACAGAAGAAATTATATGTATCATTTCGTTTCAACATTAAGTTTCAGTTCATTGCTGAACACTTTTTTGTTTCTTTTTTTCTTTCTAAGGCACTAATAATGCGGTGAAATCACCAGAGGCGGCACAACTGAAGTTGGAGAAGAAGTTTGGACAGTCTCCTGTTTTTGTTGCGTCTGCTGGTATGGAGAATGGTGGGCTTGCTAGGAATGCGAGTCCGGCTTCTCTGCTTAGAGAAGCCATCCAAGTCATTAGTTGTGGATATGAAGATAAAACCGAATGGGGAAAAGAGGTAATGTAGAGCTCTTTGAAACACTTTTTAGCACTTTTTCTTTCATTTTGCAATATAGTTTTTGATTTCTTTCATGGTGTTTGTGAAATTTATTCAAGATTGGGTGGATCTATGGTTCTGTCACCGAGGATATCCTTACGGGTTTCAAGATGCATTCTCATGGCTGGAGATCGGTTTACTGTACACCCAAGAGACCGGCTTTTAAAGGATCAGCACCTATCAATCTTTCTGACCGTCTTCATCAAGTTCTTCGGTGGGCGCTTGGGTCTGTTGAGATTTTCTTGAGCAGACATTGTCCTATTTGGTATGGTTACGGAGGTGGTTTGAAATGGCTCGAGAGATTGTCTTACATCAACTCTGTGGTTTATCCATGGACCTCTATTCCACTCCTCGTTTACTGTTCTCTCCCTGCTATCTGTCTTCTCACCGGAAAATTCATCGTCCCCGAGGTAAAAAAAAACCCCAATCTTTGAGTTCTCCAAAGTATGAATCTTTCTTCCATGTTTTATCTAGATTCATTTTTCCTGGGGTAAAATATCATCTTTGAGTTTTCGAAAGTATCAATCTTTATTTTATGTTAAGTTTTCCTTTGCTCTATTTTTGGTTGCAGATTAGCAACTATGCAAGTATCCTCTTCATGGCACTTTTCGGGTCGATTGCTGTAACGGGCATTCTCGAGATGCAATGGGGTAAAGTAGGGATTGATGATTGGTGGAGAAACGAACAGTTTTGGGTGATTGGAGGTGTTTCAGCTCATCTCTTTGCTCTCTTCCAAGGTCTCCTCAAGGTTTTAGCCGGTGTCGACACAAACTTCACGGTCACATCTAAAGCAGCTGATGATGGTGAATTCTCTGACCTTTACATCTTCAAATGGACTTCACTCTTGATCCCTCCGACCACACTCCTCATCATAAACGTAATCGGAGTCATAGTCGGAATCTCTGATGCGATCAGTAACGGATATGACTCTTGGGGACCGCTTTTCGGGAGATTGTTCTTTGCGTTTTGGGTCATCCTCCATCTATATCCTTTCCTTAAAGGTCTGCTTGGGAAACAAGACAGAATGCCAACAATCATTCTTGTCTGGTCGATCCTTCTCGCCTCTATCCTTACGCTTCTTTGGGTCAGAGTCAATCCGTTTGTGGCGAAAGGCGATCCTATCCTCGAGATCTGCGGTTTGGACTGCCTTTGATTGAACTCAGAGTTGATGTGATGATACGTAACAAATTTTCCACAGAGGTAAGTAAAGAGGAAAGAGTCACACATTTGTTTGTTTACTGTGTTGTTAATTATTATTGTTGGGAACAAAAGATCCTTGTTAGATTGAACACGAAAAGAAGAAGGATTTAGATAAATAATGTTATTCTTTTGGAAGATGTTGTAATGTAGATATAGAAGAAGGTGGTGTCGTCTTGTTATTTTTTTTGGGTGAATGTGGAACAGAAAAGAGAGGTGTTATCTTATTAATTCTTTCACTGAAATATTTTGAGAAATCTTGTGCAAATTCTTGAAAGATAAAGAAGAAGGTTACTTCATCTAAAGTTGTTAAGAAGAAGAAGATGTTTGTGATGGCTTGCTTCTTCTTGTCTGAAGATAAGGAGAGATGCAATCTCTGTGGATCTTTGTCTTAATTCTCTTAGGCCTTCTTCTTCTCTATTATTACTTTATTCTTCTCTCTTGGGAGGGTAAAAGACTTGGGAGCACGAATCAGTCAAAAGTCAACACGACTGGTTGACCGGAAACTTTTGGAACCAAAACAAAAGGCCCCCATTCATTTTATTTTGTTTCAGATAATTACATGGGTAGAAGAATTCACTCAGATTGCTTTAATTTTATAGCTATTTTTAATTAGTTAAATAACTGTAATATAGTCTTTTAAAATTAGTAAAAAAGCAAGTCAGCGATAAGAGAAGCATAATAAGGCTAAGATACGCGTTTTGTGACCAATGAGAAATAATAAGTCAAAATAGGTGGGGCCCAGTGAATTGGATATTCGTATAAGTTTCATTTTCCTTAATTTAGTTAAGGAATCATCCGTGTTTTTGTAATCGTAGGATTGAAAGAGTCAAAGTAGCCTATATTTTCTCAACATCCGACGGTTGAGATCTGCGTTGGTCTTTTATAACCAGTACAACAGAGTGTACCTGATAACCTTTGCGTATCTTGTTGTTTAAGATTTTACCCCCACACATTGTCTAAATTATAGCCATGGCAGAAAGTTTTATCAATTTTACATTCTAACCCGTCATTAAAATAAGATTGACACACTTGGCTAACTCAGATGTTTGACTCTTCTCATGGAAATGAGTTAGTTATTAGTTGACATATTCAATCTATGATTTGTGGACCAAATATTCAGAATTTGTTTACTATGATTTTAATCATAATTGACCACTGTTAAGATTATAAAAAAAGAATATGTATGGAAGATTATTGTGGACTTTATCAATAAAAGAGAAAGAAGAAGATTAGTTTGGATATCAATGTGGAATTCAAAATATAATAACAATAATTCATTAATTAGTTATTAATGACAGATTTGTTGGGAGATAACTGGTATGTACATATAAAATTTCTTATAATTATAATACGAAAATCCAGAGTGAAATTTATAAGCTGAATTAGAGGCAGCTATGTAATGGTTGAAAATGTAACTTCATAAATAAAGAAAATGATTTATTAAACTTGTAAAAATATATGGACGAGTTTGCAAAAAATATAGTTAAAAAAAAGATGAGGGATAGAGAGAGATTTCGCAGCACCAACGTCGCAGTTTCTCATGCCCTTCAAAAAACCCTCATCAACATTACGTAATCCTCGAAGAAATTTACTACCAACTAAAAACACACAAAAAAAAAAAAAATCAAATCAAACACCATAGTTGCAAGAGAGAATTTCAAGTTTCATAATGGAGAAGATCCAATCAAAGAAGGAGACTAATAAACGAAGGAGAAGAGACGAGATGATAACGGAGATAGAGATGGAGGCAGCACAACAGTTGATGCAACTAAGCGACGAAGAGAATAATATCAATATCATCAAGAAGAAGAAGACGATCGAGGAAATATTTGGTAAAGATGATATTCATGATCAAGATCATCAATGCACGAAAGAAATGGTGGTGTTGAGAGTAATGTCATCGAAGACGAAGAAGAAGAAGTATAGGACGATTGAGAGCATTTACATGGCGACGAGACCTATCAGGGTCGTGATTAGATGATGAAACATTAACTATCCTTAGGTTTGAAGTTTAAGGTTTTTTTTTTTTTATCTACATTATGGTTTTTAACTTTTGATGAATAGGATATTTAAGCAATTTGTAATTAGTTCCAAGCACTGACGTTGTTTTGAGCGCAACACACTTGGTTGTTTTTATTATCGTAGCTTACATTATTTTATGATTTGATTATGTTGAGAAGATCGCAAGAATTGATCGAGGATAAAAATATAGTTTGAGGGAGCAAAAAGATCGAATGATTATGATCGATGTGTCACGGCTTTCTTGTTTCTTCAGAGACAAAAAAAAAACAACAATCTTTGGACGCGTGGAAGTCTTTTTTCATGTGTTTATACGCGTGTTGGGTTTTTTCTTTCACAATTTAGACTCTTTAGTTTTTTTATAAAAGAAGAATTACTACATTCTAGTAACTCTTTGTTATCTGTGTTAGATTTAAGAGAGGTTTTTCATAACTGAAAGTACTGATTCTGGAATGTAGTTGGCGATGTTTTCTACTATTTTCTGGTGAAGATTCGGATTTTTTGAACGGTTGATTCGGAATGGAGATATCATAGGATAATTTCGAAACTCACGGAAAAATGTTTTGACCTCTAGAGCGGACAAAGACCAATGCGCACGGGACATAGAATATATCCTTGGGGCTTTCGGGAAGAATGGGGGTGTTTGTAACACTTCTGACCCGAGTTAGAGGCAAAGGTGGTGTATATACGGAGGAGGAATGGGAACAAAAGGGGAAAATGGTGATTTGATTTCATTTGAGTCTCGAAACTATAAATGGAAATGTGTTGTGATAAAACCACTTAGGACTTGATTGGTTCTCCCGCTAGCACCCTCCTAGCGGTTGCTAGCGGTCGGTTGCGGTTGTTAGCTGTTGGTACCAATCATAGAAACCGCTCCGTACCGCTTCAAACCGCTCAAAATTGCTGAATTTCAAAAGCTCCTTCCCGCAAGCGTTTGCGGTTGCGGGCGGTAGCGGTTGGATTTAAAAAAAAAAAAAAAAAAAAAAAAAAAAAAAAAAAAATCAAACGTTTACTTATAATTATTATAAAATATATTAATCTTATATATATCTTTCATCTTTGTATCACGTTCTCATCAGAAACCCTAATCAATATTCTAAAACCTTATTTTCTCAATTTCTTCCACCCAAACTGATGAAAATCAATTTGAATATTTTTTTCTTTCATTATATATTGCTTTCTTTTTGATTGAATATATGTTTCGATTTGTTTTCTCGAATAGAAAATTACTTGCTTTTTGATTGAATTCAACGTTATTTACAGTTTGTCCCATTACTTGATACAATTTTTGGTGTTAACGACCCAGCATAAAGTACTATCTTATTATAAAATTATTTTATTTTTGAATAATTATTTAGTACTTTATTTATGGTTTTAATTATTAAGCATGTTCAATTTTTCTAATATTATCATAATAATATATTGGTGTTTTTATTTCTTTTTTTTTTTGTAATATTTTTTATTTTTTTAGTCATTTTTTTATTTAACTGCTACCGCACCCGCTGGTTTACCAGTCATAAAACTTCCGCAAACGCATCCATTTTCAAACGCTAAACCAGTCGGTCAAAACGCTTGGTAACGCTTGAAACCGCAACCGCCCGCTTCCGCAAACTCCCGCAACCGCAACCGCAACCGCTGCGTTTAAACCAGTCAGACCCTTAGGCGGGTACGTTTAAAGGTGATAAAAGAATGTAACTTGGTTACTGATCGGAATAATAAAAATAGGATTTGACTAACGTGTGAATGTATACTAGTTAGGGACACTTGCTTGAGTTAATGGGTTCATTAAATTTGGTACTCGCATTTCTCTATAGACATTGCAGGTGAAATTGACTGAAACCTAGCACGAGGGTGGTGGTCAGTCGACTAGAACTCCGTTTTATCTGACTAACTGGTCTATACTTTGGATTATAGCCTACAAGTCTAAGTGTTGAATTCATTGTCTGATGTTTTGCACGAGTTTTACGAAAAATCGACATTAAAACAACATTATGGCAGAAGTTATAGGTGGAGTGGGATGTAAAAACGAAACGAAATCATGAGACTAAATCGAAGGGTTTTGAAGCTGGCTAAGGAATAGTCTGCAGTCCAAACTGCTGCTTCGTGAATAATATTATAAGATAAAAAAAAAAATGTACACACTAGAAATAAACATAGTTAAACACTTTCAAATAGACTAAAAAATATTTTTTTCAAGATCAATAGATATGGTAAAGTTACAACCAACGAGGACGGAAAAAAGAAGAAGGGAAAGAAGGTCCCCATAATCTTTTGACCTATATAACATATTTCAGACAAGAGACTGAATCTGGATAGCAGTTCAGTTCAGGTTTAAACCAGTCAGAACAAGAAAATCTACGAGAGACAAAACCCCGACTTGCCTTCAATTCAGGCCTTGGCTTTGGCTTCATATTCATGAGGAGGCTGCAATCAAAAAGTATTCATTTAGTAAACACATGAAAATAAGAAAGAAAGATATGAACACAACTATTTTACCATGAAAGTTGCAGATATCATCTTTTGTGCAAACCATCTCATGTGCATTGCTCTTTGAGCTGCTACTGCCGCCTCCACTGATTGAAACCTCAGATACACAAACCCCGCACTGTTCCTGCATTTTACCAGATTCAGACCAATGTCACATATCTATAAACATCAACAGCCAAACATGCAAAGTCATACTTTGCCATACTTACTTGTCTACGTATATATGATTGACTTCGCCATACTTTGAACATTCATCCGCAACGTCTTCTCTAATTTCAAAGTCAAAGTCTCGTTCCGTCTGCAGCAAAGTAAAGGTTTGATGTTAATAGAAATTGTAGAAAAGAGTCAGCAGGCATCCAATTAAATAAGGCTGAGACTTGGTTTTTCACAGCTCTAACAAAACAAAAAAAGAAGAAGCAAGAATTGACCTCGGTTGCAGGATCGAACATGTTCTTCAATAGGAGGCATTCACTTGGCTGACCAACAGGTTCATTGACAAAAGAAGGGATTGCTGTTGTCGGAAGCACTGGTGTTGGGAAACTAGGATTCATGCCTGGTTGATTAAAGGCTGCTCCATTTAGCCCTGGTACTCCAAGAGACCCCACAATGCTGTAGATAGAATTCCATGTGTTATAAGGAAATACTCGCAAATAAAAGATTTGAGACCTAAATGGTGCAAAGAGATGCAGACAAGTGAGACATACCTCGTCGCGATACCTGAACGATCCAGCTTCTGCATAAGCAGAGCCCTAGATTGTGCATTTAAAGCCTGAGAGGGAGGAGAGAGAGTCGTTAAAAAACAGACCTTTAAGAGAAAGAATACAACGAGTAAAAAAGACAGGTTCTCTAGCTTACCAGTCCACCTCCATCATCATCATCAAAATCAGCAGATTTTGGAGCAGCATCTTGTGTACCAATATGATCAGAGACAGAGGAAACCTAAAAGGAAAATAGTAACCCGGATAAAGTAACATTAGATACATGCAAGTCCAAGAACTCATCATATTTCCACAACGAATTCAAAACTCACCTTGATTGTCCTACCAGCAATCTCCAGCTTCCCATTTAAGGAAATTTGTGCTGCCTTTGAATGTTCAAGTTGAGCAAACTATGCAAGAGAAAATAAAATTCAGTGAGGAATAACTAAGAAATTGAGTACCAACTAATTCAAAAACACGTTCCACTGACCTGAATAAATCCAAAACCTTTGCACTGCCCAGTCTCAGGATCAAGTGGTAGCTGAACAAGCTCAACGGGACCAAATGCCTCAAAAATCTGATAAAAGAAAAAGGGAACAACTGTGAGAATATGAAAGGTATTGAAAAAACAGTTGCTGGAGTGTCCATATGTAATAAAGACATTGACCTAGAAAACGAGGGGATGTCTAAAACTGACAAAAAAATATCACCTGTCTAAGCTGTAATTCTGTCATGTTGAAATGCAAATTTCCCACATAAAGTTTCCTATCTACAGGGCCAGTACCACCTGGTGTAGTGTTAGATTGAGCCAAATTCTTTTCAGCTTCAGAGGGCTTAACCATCACAGGTTGTCCAAGAAACGGTTGTCCAGACAGAGCTATGGCCATTGGAACTGACATCACATCATAAAACTCAATATACCTGCAAGTACAAAAAAAGGAGATATACTTGACTTCAAGCACACATAGGACGAAAAAATCAGAAAAAAACTTACAAAGCAAGTAGCAAAGAGAAGTTGGAAACAAAAAACTTTAGTGCGGGGGTTCAAGCTGAGTCTCTTTTGGTGGGTTGGAGGCCTAGAGTAATAGAAAATGTTAGCCCATCATGATAAGAGAACAATAATCAAGTCTAAAACAGCAATGACTATAGAAGCAAGCTACTCAATCAGTGAATATCCCAAACAGAGGACTGGGAAGGCACCATCGACTAGGAGGAAGTATCAAACAAAGAATGTGAATAAGATTAATAGGCTAATGGATTTCCTCCTTCCTGAGAGTGCTTGCTTGCAATGGAAAGTAACAACTGAAATAGGATTCAGGTTTTCTGACATCTACCTTGACCACGCAGAATGATTAAACAAGAGTGCAAGGTATTGCCATCATCCTCATCATTATCGCATGGCTAGTGCATCTAAGAATACAGAATCGAATTCTTGAAATTGCAGAGAAAACTGAATATGCAGAATATTACGTACCAAGTGCACATACACAAAACTAAGTTTAATAGAAACCGAAAGCAACATACCCGACTCCCTTTGATCGTCTTGAATTTCTGTCCATGATCAATCGCACGTCCCTCACCTGAAATTATACAGAACGGAGAACAATAAGAACAAAGAAAAAACAGAGCCCAAAAGAAAAGACAGCAGACATTTGACGAAAATATTAAGACCAGAAAGGGAAATCAAAGCGCAGAAACTTGATAAATAAATTCAGCTCTGTGCAGTAAGCAAGAGACGTCTAGCCATCCAGATAAAAAAAATCACACAAATTACTAAACACTGAAGAATAATAAGCGTTTCTATCGAAGCCAAAATAAGAAGTCAATGAAGCAAACTAAGGATTAATGTTTATTATATTATAAGAGCCAAGAACTACATCTTCAGTAAAAGGATTATATGCCATGGTCAAGCACATCGAAACAGCAACCCATCACTAAAACATTTATAACCTTATAATTGAAAATTGAGATTCATGGATCAATATTAATAACTTGCTATGGCCTCAAAAACTAGAACCATAAAGACAATTAACAACATATTAGAAAAGGTACAAAGGTAACTAACCTTGCCCGCTTTGGAGAAGAACTCATAAACATCTCTCTCGGTAGCTTTAAGAGGCATCTGTTCATTAATAAAACCAGATTAGGTCAACGAAATCAATACATCAGTAAAACCAATGTATAAGAACCTACCTGATATGCAAAAACGGTTCTTTGATCTCTCTCTGGATCTGCTTCAGGCTCATCTTTCTTGTCCTTGTGTCTCCTGCAATCGTGAAAATCATTTAAAAACCGTTCTAAAGAAACAACATTGGAGCTTTGCATCATTCATATAACACTTGCACATAACAACGAGCTCATTCAACATACCTGCTTCCTCTCTCCACTACTTCACGTTCCCTCTCCTCCCTCCGAGATCTACTGCTGCTCCTCCTCTCCCTCTCTCTTCTCTCTCTGTCTCGGGTTTTGTCCCTATCGCTCCTATCTCTCTCCTTGCTACTCCTCTCCCGATCGCTCTCTTTATCTCTCGATCCTTCTCTAACCTTATCCCTCTCTCGATCCTTATCTCTGCTGCTCCTATGCCTCTCTCTCTTACCGTTCTCTTCACCGTCTCCGCGAGACTTCTTGCTCCGACTGCTACCTCGCTCTTCGTCACCGCCTTCTTCGTCATGCCTCTCTCCTCCTTCTCTCTTTCTGTAACTCCTCTCGCTCTTCTCGTTCCCACTCGATTCCTTGTTCTTATTCGACCCATCTCCTTCCTCCACCGTCTTCTCAAGGTACTCGTATTCGTCAAACTCCATTGTCGTCAACGATTCGGCGAATTTCGTCGATTAGGGCTATTGTTAGGGTTTCGAATTGGAAGAAACTAATGAGATAATTGAATTTACTTGTGCCTGGTGGATCGATATCTAGAAGAAGATGATAGCGAGGTTATAAACGGTACTTACAACATAAAATCGGTTACGACAGTGATGGGCCCAATAGTTGTAATAGAAAAGGCCCAGTTCCCTTAATAATTTTTAAAACGTCCTAAATTGTTTTGTTTTCTCGCTAATTATTGTGTTTTTTTTTTATCAATCTATATATATACCATATTTACGGTCATCACAAATTATATATATAGGTTTTGGTATAAGTCATTTAAAACCGAAATTGGGTAGAGATGGATAAAGAGTATGGCAGAAAAGCGAGCTTCAATTTGATGTATTGATAACTTGTGGGTAAAAATGTTCAAGAAATTATTCTTCCATGCTTTACAGTTTCTTTTTTAGATTAAAAAAAAAACAAATATGTTACAAGAAAAGAAAGAAAAAAAAAAAAGAGAGGGGGAAATAGAAGTTTTTATGAACCCATCATAAGTGATGTGGTTAAAAAACTACTATCGCCTCCATTGCCTCCGCCATATGATCAAAACAACTGCAAACGGATAAAAAATCAATAATATTTGTATTTCTTCTCTATGTCTTGTGGTTTAACTCACCACCTTCACCTTCTTCCATATTGATCCGACCTGAATAATATATACATATTCACATGTCAATCTGTCCTCTACAACCAAGCGGGGTGTACAATTTGGTTACATACCTAACAATGATATCAACGACGGGGCTTCCCCTGATCCATTTGATTTCATGTCCGCACCTACGTTTCAATGTCACGACTGAAACTTAGAACTATATCCAACTATTGAACCTTTTCTCTAGAAGACAATTTAGCTTAAGAGCAAGTTCTAATAAGTAAATACATAAGCAGTAGATATGAAGACTACCTGAACTTTCCATTGATCTTGTGATGTCTGACTTCTTAAATGTAAATCCTATGAAGTTGGTGTCCTTGGACGTCAACATCTGCTCAACCAATTTATAAGTTAGCACCAGATTGTTTCCATCAATAAGCATACTATCCAAACTCGTTGATATTCTCAACCATAACAAAACGTAATCTGTTAGCTTTATTGAGTCCAGTGACATTTTCGCATATGTCAATTTGCAACACATATTATATTATAGGAATCAAGTAGAGTGCTCACCTTTCTCCAAGGACCAACTTGTGGTGCTTCGGATGGTGATCCTTCAACCTACAAGGTAATTGATGAGGATATTAGACGGTTTGACTTTCTCATTTTAGCAACGAAAATCAAAGGGTTACACTAAGACCCATAACACAGTTTTGACTTCTCATAAGCAGTTTTAAAACAAGTTTTAGGTTCACCAACTAGTCGGTTTCAACAAAATGCCTCATGCCACAAATCACGCCATGACAAGCTTTTTGAGATTCTATCATACTTACCTCTGGAAACTTCTCAAAATTTTGTGTGTCTAGTTCTCCATCGACAATGGGTCTATAAGCTGCCTCCATGTCATACAGTTTGTCCCATGGGGTGCCTTTGAACCATGGATGCGACTGAAGCATGAACAAAATAGATTACAATGATATCAAGGATGAAAGTAAGGATAATGAAACTAAAACGTATTTCTACAAATCCTTTTCAGAAGTCGCACCTTTATCTCCTCAACACCTCTGGTTCCCAACCTTGAATCAACATCACAAAGCAACCGACAAATCAAGTCTCTGGCTTCATCTGATATTTTTGGTTCTTCAGGGAATTTCAAGCATACCTTCCAATTAATTATCTGAGATAAGAAGCACAAGTCTTTAAGCAGGCATGAATATTTCTACTATATATAAACAATTTGCATGACTAACCAGTTGTATACACCTACCTTGCGGCATGTTATACGGGGGTCATCAGAACAGAATGGGGGATACCCAACTAACATCTCATACAAAATTGCACCGAGAGACCACCAATCACATTCCATTCCATATCCTTTCTTTAGCAGTACTTCTGGAGCCATGTAATCCAGAGTTCCAACGGTTGAATAAGCCTATAAAAATGAGAGACCTATTGATTACCCAAGATATATTCGATGTGGTAACTGATCTCTATAGTGTAGCATAAAATGAGTAGCTCGTGTAATTCAATTAGAGAAGCAGCATAAATACCAATGCACGGCGATTGCGCTTCCATTGCAGTAACTGCTCTTTAGGCATTTGCCAGGGTGCTTTGTCAGCGTCTGATTTTTCTGACTGGTTCTCTGAATCCTGAGACAACATTTCATCGTCTTCTAAAAGCAGTGAAGAATACTTATCATCTAGTGGCTTACATAAGCCAAAATCCGAAAGCTTCAAATGACCACTTTTGTCTAGTATCAAATTGTCAGGTTTGATGTCCCTACAGGCAAGAAGAAACAAACTCAAAGCAAGAAACCAAAGAGCCAAATAGTAAACATGGAGTTTTAATGATGCGTAGAGATCTCTCCAACAACCTAAATCACTAGGCATAAAAATGATGTCAAAACTTATATTATACCTGTGAACATAGTTATGTTGATGAATTGAATGGATAGCAAGAATGCTCTCCGCAATATAAAAACGGGCAACATCTTCAGAAAGAATGTCTTCTCTCATGAGTAAAGTCATGATGTCACCCCCAGGTAGATACTCCATGATAAGATACAAACATTCAGAATCTTGAAAAGAGTAAAAAAGCTTTACAATGTAACGGCTGTCAACTTCTGCAAGTAAGTTCCTCTCGGACCTGACATGCTCAACCTAGAGACACAAAACCAACTATTCATTTGTCTCTGCACAAGCACAAAAACTTCCAAAACTGAAGCAACCTAGTGAACCCAGTCCAATGATAAGAAAAAGGTAGGAAGTTTTTCTCAGCTCATATCAGGCATCAATCTTGCACTTAATAGTAGTACTACGATTCTCAAACATGTTACAACAAAAATAGAGGGGATATTTTTACCTGTCCACGGCTAAGCATCTCAGTTTTTTTCAATTTCTTCATGGCATAAACCTCAGATGTAGATCTCAAACGGCATAATCTAACCTGAAAAACAATTTCAGAGATTAAAAGATATTCTGGAGAGTGATTCCTTAATAAGTCAATTTCTAAATAGATCTCTGTATAAACAAGCTCGATTTGGGAAAATATGTACCTCACCAAAGGCACCTTTGCCAATAACGGTCAAAAGCTCAAAGTCATCAATCCCAATTTTACGTCTCTGAAGTCTCATATACTCGGTCTCACGACGTGCCAGATTCCTCATCATCTCATCTTGTTCCTCAACCGGTAACTGAGCTTCTTGCACTTTCCTCTGAAACTCTCTGCGTCTGTAATTTCAAAAATCTCAAGTCAAACACAAGTCATCTCGACCAGATCAGAGAGATTCATCATCATCTATTCATCACAAACAAAATCCGAATCCAAACCTCTCCATTCGTTCGTGCAAGCCTTGCAAGTAGTTCTTATAATGATTCTCGATGAATTGCTTAGCTGCAGCAGCTTTCTGACGTGTCACTGGCGACGAAACCGCAACATCCGTCTCCGTTTCAAATCCGCGACCAGGTTTGACGCGAACGGTTCCATCGGCGCCGTCCATAGTCTTCAGGCAGAGAGATCGTAAAACAAGTAAGAGAGAGAGAGAGAGAGAGAGAGAGAGAGAGATTTTAGAGAGCCATGGAAATTAAAAAGGAAGTAATCGAGGAGAGATCTAAGGAGCTGTCACGGTGTTGGTGAAATCCCAAAGACGCCAGAACGTGGACTATTTACCAGAGATGAACTGGCAAAGCTGTCTCCTCTATTAAAATTTAATTAAATTAATTAACAACAATAGACAATTTTATTAGTTTTTTTTTTAGAGTATGGAAGAATATACATGTGCCTGTGCCATCATAATTTTAGTTATTATTAACTTGCAATCTTTGAAGCAATTTTTTTATCGTCTTGACTTTCTGTCAGCGCAAGGTTTGGATCTATCTCCTGAGGCTTGAGGACACACGAGATTATTCTTCTCGTTACATGAAAATTTAATTCATGTAAATTTCTAATAATTTAACCAACAATTAATCCACCAACAACAAATACTTGAAATAACCAAAAGTGGCAAAAAACTTCGTTAGTGTACACAACCATAGTACATTTTTAAAAGGAAACACTGATTCGAGTTTTTACCACATAAAGATGCTGATAACTCAACGAAGAAGATCCTGAAATAAGTTTCATGAAGACACATGTTGTTTTCAAGGTCTGAGAGCGGCTTTGTGAACCATGGTTTCCTTGTGAATTTGGTGGCAACTCTTTTCGACAAGATCTAAAAGCTTCTCCAAATTCCCTGCCCACGAGTTTAGAATCTCGTTGCTGTCCTTTGCGATCTGGAAGCACACAATCCCTGATGGTCTGTCTATTTTTGCAATCAGTGCTTTTGACACTACCATCTCCGACAGATGCTTCTCCGCCTCCTGAAATCACAATTTCCAACAATTATAACAAGCAGAAGCAGTATATTTGATATAGCCAATGAGAGGTAAGATCAAATATACCTCTATGCTCAGGCATAAAAGCTCGGCAAGTCTCTTTAAGGTTATCCTTGCGTAATACTTTGAGACAACAAGAATATTCTGCAGAACATAAACGAAGTTTCAAAAGTTAATAACTTTAAGCATCATCAATTGATGTAATCAAGCTTTAAGACAAATTGAGAGACTTACATGTTCGATGATTCTCAGTTTCAGATCTTCACCAGCTTTGTCACCCAAAGAACCTCCAACCATGCTTTTCTCTTTCTCGAACTCATCCTTGTATTTGTTCCACAGAGATGTCCATTGAATAACCTCCATTGTCACTACCTGTTTTAGAAGCATCCTGAAACGGGTAATATCAAACAAACATACAAAAAGACTCAGAACCCATTTGGGACAGAAGAATCAGTAAAGAAAAAACAAGATTTATTGGGAAAGAAAATATACTTGAAATCAGGGATTTCTGATAAATTCTTGTCTTCCAGAGTTGCATTGAGCAAGCTTGATTGCATTGGGTCATGAGGTGCCAAGACCAAGAACCAGCAGATCTTCCTCAGGACCTAATGTTTTGAAGATCAAAGAAAGTTATTAAACTAACCCTATAAGAATGTATACTTATTATACTTTCAATCAATAGGATGAGCTTACCGGAATCCACTGCTCCGGTGTTTCTTTTACAGAAGGGATATCATAAATCGCCTTGTAGCTACGGCAGATTTCAAGGTACTCATTGTTATGAGTATAGTACCTACATAGTTGAATTTTTATATGGTTATTAATAAAAAGATGAGAACACCACAAAAATCAATCATGGTTCATCAGGAGATTCATCCAAATTTTAATATTGTCTAGCAGGAAAAAGTTGTAATATACATTTGATAGATTTCAAGAGACTCAGAGAGTGGTCCTTAATTAAACAATCATATACGAATTTAAAATGCCATGACAACTAATGGAAATATCAATCACGAACAATGTGATAGAGAAGCTCAAGAAGGCCATACCGAATCATAAGCTCGTAGTAAATCCGCTTAAGCTCCAACAAGGTTGGTATATCAGCAGGAGCCTCCTCTACCATGTTATCGCCTTCCTTAGGTTTCTTCTTATCTTTCTTTGTGTCTGCATCAAAAACTCTAGGATTGATCTTCCTAGATAAGATTTGTGCACGAACAAAATCTTGACGATCCAAGCACAAGCGAACCTTCAAAGTTTAACCACAATAGTTAGCACCACAAAAGAAAACACCAGAAAATTATAAATTGCAACGTAATTACACAAGTCCTTACTTGTTCAAGGATAAATGCAATTTTCTCAGTTTTTGCCATAGCGCCAAATGTCTCCACCTGTGATTCATTATCACATTGCAGGGGTTAACTAGGGAAGAAAATTTCCAGTAGATTTAATAGCCAAATGCACAAAATCTTACAGCAACTTCTTGCATAAGATCTGCAGCTTCAGCTATTTGACCCTGTTCTTCCTTTATCTTAGCAAGCTTCTTGGTGAGGCGTGCCCTCTCGATTTCAACATATATCTATACATGAAAAATTCAATGGTGAAGAATTATAGAATGATAAAGTTATGAGAAAGATAACAGCATCAGTTTCTTAGAACCGCACCTTTCCAGCAGATACATTGTTCAATGTCTTAATAAGCTCTATCCGAGTTTCAATGTCTGGTGTCTGATCAATATACTGCATAGCCTGCTGCACCATGGATTGCACAGCCTGCAAGTGGAGAAGTTCACAAAAAATCACTGATGTTGACTTTCCACTTTGAATCGTTTACTTTGAACTATAATTCTGTACAAGAAAAAGTTAAGCTAATTCTGTATCAAGAAATTAGACCAAGAAAACACGCAAAGCAAAAGTAAACCAACGAAATACTGAAAATGAAACTAAGTTAAGTAATAAACTGAACAAAACACAACCATCACTATCTGCAAGGACCCAATTTAGCATTATTATTTCAGTCAACAGTGAATCTATCAAAATCATAGAGAGGAATCGTAAAAGCAACCTATAATCACAGGACAAAATCCAACTAAAAGAAGCTTGTATCCAACACAAAGTCGAATCCTCCTGAATTTGTGCTTATGTCCTTAATCTCTTTCCAAGATTAGGGTTACCAAAAACTAGGCCTATGCAATTCAGAAGTCAAATGTGGAAGAAATCACCAAAAACTCAAACAAAATCTCCAACTTAAACAAATCCTTCAAATTATCCCAAACCAAGAGTCCATAATCCTTAAGAGCTTAAACCACAAAAATTGATAGGATTTAACCAAATTTTATGGTACCTGTTTGAGCTGACCACGTTTCTTAGACAGATTGAGAATCTGCTCATTCAGAAGCTTCCAATCCTTAGCTTCGAAACAAAGCTGAAGAATCTCAGTGGCGGCTTTCCTTGTACCGGCGACGTTTTCCGCGAGTCTCATCTGCTTCTCTTCATTCAGAAGCCGATCTACCGTCGCCTCAAGCTTCCCGCTGTCTCCCTGAAATCCACAATACAACGGGATGAGATTGCAAAATTTCGGAACGAGGAAAAAACTTAACATCAGATCTGAGGAATTGAAGACTCGCCATCGTGAAAAATCCAACGAGAATCAAACTCAAAGCACGAGTAGTTGAAACTCTGGTGACAAAACAAAGAAGCTTTAGGCTATGGAGAAGGAGGAGACGAGAGAGAGATGAGAGAGCTTTGGGAGTAGCTGAGCACAGATAAATCGCAGGAGTTCCCAACCCCTTGAACAAGAAATCTCAGATTCTTCGGCCGATGGATCTTTTAAAATGGGCCACTAATGGGCCATAAACTAATTGTTTTGAGCTCAATCCGGTTTGGTATGTAATCCCGGTCTACTTATAAATAGTATGATTTAAATTCAGAATTACCGAACCGATCCCATTGATTGAACAAAAAACTCATGTCGTTCGTTCTTCCGCCCAAATCTCACGAAATCTTGGAATTTTCGTAGCAAAACCAGAGTTTCTGGATCCTTTAATGTCGATCGTGACCTCCTTGTCTCGAGATTCTATGATTACTGGAAAGATCTTGTATGAATTGTCTTCTAAATTCAACGAGAAGAAGAACTTTAAGGAAAAGATTCATTAGAGAGATCTTAGAATTCGAATTTTGATCCTCGTGAGAACCCCGTAGATTCGCACTAAGAAGGTGAAGGATCTGTAGCCGAGACTCTGTTTTGCATTGTGCAAGTTGATGGATTAGAACAATGATAATCTGTGGAAGCTTCTCTTTTGGTCGAAGACGCGACTATGGGACTTGATTTTGTAGCGCTGCTGGATTTTCTACTTCGCCTAGGCTGATTTGGCTGGTGTAAGCAAAATGAGGTTTTGGAGGGAACGTGAAAGGGAAAATAAGGAACATGTCGTCGCGCCATTATGCGGCCAAATTCGAGTATTGGTGGTTGGTGATTCAGGTAATAATAACAAATTCTCGTTTCCATGGATGATGTTAGACTACGCCGTGCGTTATATATTTGGTAACCAATTTTATGCGAACAAGGAGGTAACGAGAAGCTTGAAAATATAGAAGTTATATGGTTGTGGAACCTATTAAGAGTCGAGTATCTTAAGTCAGCAAGTCATTTTCTTAAAAGTCTACTAGTACCTCATGTGCTAGCTCTTGTTCATAGTCAAAATTTTGTGTCTTCTTGTCATCCTCTGCACTATTGAGAAAATTTCATCTCAAATTAGGTGTGGGAAAGTCATCTCTTCTTCATCTCATTGTCAAAGGCTCCTCTATCGTTCGCCCTTCTCAAACTATTGGATGTACAGTTGGTGTCAAGGTAACTTAAGCTGTTCTATAAAAAAATTCCCGATATGGTTAAAGAGAGCTTGGGATAAATCCCCTACTTAGTTTCTGGAACTCTCTTTGGTGCAGCACTTAGCTTACGCAAGTCCTGCTAGTTCTTCAAGTAGCATTAAAGGTGACTCAGAGAGAGATTTCTTTGTCGAACTTTGGGATGTATCTGGTCATGAACGATACAAAGATTGCCGCTCACTGTTCTATTCACAAGTTAATGGTCTGTCTGTCTTCTCAATTCTGTCTCAAATAATGTCATCTCTGTCTCTGTCTTGTCGCCACTTACAGAAGAGATTTACTAATTTTGCAGGAGTTATCTTTGTTCATGATCTTTCTCAACGAAGAACAAAAACAAATTTGCAGAAATGGGCAGGTGAAGTTTCAGTAAATGGGGCGTTTTCAGCTCCACTTTCTTCTGGTGGGCCTGGTGGTCTTCCCGTCCCTTACATTGTTATTGGAAACAAAGCTGATATTGCTGCAAAGGAAGGAACAAGTGGAAGCAGTGGCAATCTTGTTGATGCAGCTCGTCAGTGGGTTGAGAAGCAAGGTCTGCTTCCCCATAGTGATGAACTTCCTCTCTCTGAGAGCTTCCCTAGCAATGGTGGTCTCATAATGGTAACCACAGACTAAATTACTAGTTCTTGAATCAGTGTTATACGGTATGTCATATAATTTTGGTGAGACTATGCACAGGCTGCCAAGGAAGCTAGATATGACAAAGAAGCTCTGAACAAATTTTTCCATATGGTTGGTGTTATTTCTGACCTTCCCATGTTTTCCAGTAGCTCTTTCGCTTTCTCTTCAATCTAATGAATGTGTTTCGTTTCCAGTTGATAAGAAGAAGATATTTCTCAGACGAACTACCGTCGCCTTCTTCAGCATGGTCTCTTTCCCCTGGACCTTCCCAGCGGTTAGACGAGGGCACAAGTGATGAAGATCAGTTCTATAAAAGAACAAGGTACATATATTTAACATCATCGAAAATTTTGGATTTCTTTTCTTTATCGGGTTTTGGTCTTTTGAATTTTGCAGCCTAAGGGAAGGAGATCCTTACAAGTATAACACATTACCACAACACAACCTCACGCAGCCTCCTACACTCTATCCGCAGCAACCACCTGACCGTTACAGTTACGCCATTCCGAGATTCTCTCTTTCCAGTGTAGAGGAGACCAACAATGGTAATGGCAGGTCTAAGCCGATGGATATTAACGTTTGAAATTAAAATACACATCAAAAATCTCACATGTTTTTCTGTAATAAAATATAAATCTTTTTGACATAATCTTACTATTCTTATTATTTTTAAAATCTCTTGATAAGTATAATCTTTTTCTTTTTTTTTAAGTTGATAAGTATTATCTTTAGAATTTAGAATCCTAAACTAAATTGGATTATAATAAACAACTCAGTTGCTTATAAATACACTCATAAATCACAATTGTAAGAAATATAAAGAAAAAAACAAAATTGTGAATGTAAGCATTGGTTTTTGTATACAGCGAAGTTCATCAAAGAAAGACTAAGTGAACCGAAACTCAAGCAATACATGGGCTTGATGAAACAATTTAGGTCCCGGCATATACAAGGAGATGAACTCATAAAGTCTCTTCAAAATGTTCGAAGAGACTTTTCGAAGAAGACGAGGTACTTTCTCAAATGTTCGACACACTTATGAAAACAGAGATACAAGACCTGCAAGACAATGAAAATCCGGAAACATCAGCAAGAAAAGAAAAAGAACAAGGAGTGAAGCAAAGAATGATGATGAGATTGAAGGAGGTGAAATTGAAGAGGATGAGCATTGTCATTGTCCTCGTTGCAAGATTGGTCGGGAAGAAGCAGGTAGACGCTGTGTTCAAAAAATCGCTAGGCGCTAGTCGGGCGGTGAGGGTGCGCCTAGCGCCTAGCAAGAAAATCGGGGATTACACGGGGATTAATCGTAGATTAGTTTTAGGGCTATTTAATATTTTAAAAACATATTAATCCATTATAATTAAGTAATTTATATAATATTGTTTTTAAAATTGTATTAAACACATGAAAACAAGATTTTAATTTCAAATTTATGATTTTTATACAAATTACGAACATAAGTAGGACGTTTTGAATTTTAGATGAAAAAAAAAAAAAAAAAAAATGGGCTATAAACATGTATATTAATATAGACTATAGAGTTTGTTTGTATATATATAACCGGTACAATAGATTCTTTCTTTGGTCTATAGTTATTCACTTTCGTTGTTAGTCGGAAAAAAAAAACTAGAGGCGGAACAAAAAAACTTTTAGGTTTCGATTTCCCTCCTTGGTAATCGCCATGTCCGGAGAAGAAGAAGAGAACGCCGCCGAACTCAAGATCGGAGATGGTACTTCTCTATTCTCTTCTCCATATCCGCCGCTATGTACCTCAAAATTAGGGTTTTTTGCCTCACCGAATTGATCTTACTGCAATACGATTTAGTTGAGCTTACCTTTATTGTAATCACTTAAATTTTTCGAGATTTCGCAACGAAAATTGATGGGTTTTATTTATTCTCTTGGCAATAGAGTTTTTGAAGGCAAAGTGCTTAATGAATTGTGAAGTCTCTTTGATTCTTGAGCACAAGTTTGAACAGCTTCAACAAGTCTCAGAGGATCCTATGAATCAAGTTTCTCAGTAAGTATTATTAGTTTTGTGTTTCATAAAGATTCACTGTTTATTAGCAATCATGAATTGAAGAATTTGGTCAGTTTTATATGTTACTTGTAGATTAGTGAATCAATGTTTTCTTGATGAATATTGTTGGAGAAGTTATGTTTTCTCCTTGCAGAGTGTTTGAGAAGTCCTTGCAATATGTGAAGCGATTCAGCCGGTACAAGAATCCAGACGCTGTTAGACAAGTTCGAGAGTATCCTCTTTCTGAATTAGTTTCATTCATAGTTTTTAACTAATCGTTGCGTTGGCATGCTTGCATCTTGATTTTGCTTTTCTTAGCACTGAACGATGAATGCATGTTTAGAGTCACTGGTTTAATTCGTTAGTTTACCTTAACTCAACTCTCACAGAATACTGAGCAGACATCAACTTACTGAGTTTGAGGTATAATGTTAAATCTCTTGAGATTGGATTTTTGTTATCAATTAAGTCGTTTCGGCAGAAGACTTAAACCGTTGCATTGTTCATTATTGAACAGCTATGTGTTCTTGGCAATCTCTGTCCTGAAACTGTTGAAGAAGCAGTGGCAATGGTTCCTTCTCTTAAGGTAAAAAATATTCTACTCTTTCTATTCAGTGGAGATCAGATAACCTCAGAAGGACAAATAGTATTGTTATGTCAGTGGACTTTTGAGATGATGTAAGTTTCTCTTTTCTGTAGACAAAAGGAAGAGCTCATGATGATGAAGCAATTGAGAAGATGCTTAATGATCTCTCTCTTGTCAAGAGATTCGAGTAGTGCAGAAGATTCTCAAGATCATAGACTAAGAACATTTGGCAGGATGCTTTACTTGCCTTCTAGCTGATGTCTGATCAAATATCTCTGGAGTTAATTTTCCATGTCTGAAATTATAAAGCTTTATATGCCCAGAATCTCTTGAATGGATACCTTATGTTAAATGAATGTAATTTTCAATGGATGACAATGGATGATCCAAGCTTTCAATGAAATATACCATTTCTTTTTCACTAAATCTACATACATACTACACCTAAAGCTATGGGTGAAGCTTTAATTCCATCTCTTGGCATTTTTGCTGGACTTAGACTTCTTTTTGGAAGCTTGAAATGCTTTCATCTTTTGCTTCTTCCGTGCTTCTCTTTCAGCCTTTGACATCTTTGACTTTGCTTTCACTTTTGGACCTTTTTCCTCCAATTCTGCTTCCTTCTCCAGCTCCCTTGCTCTAGCTTCCACATTCTTCTCTAAGTAATACTGAGAAACATTTCAAAACACAACCTAGAATGAACAAATTTAGCAAAGGTCTATTTACAAGAGGAAACTAGGTTGAAGGAGATTTCGTTACATTGTAGTCTCCTGCATAGTCCATTAAACCACCATCTCTGACTTCAATTACTCTGTTAACAATCTGTTTAATGAAGTATCTGTCGTGTGAGACTGTGATGACCGTGCCTTTGTACTCATTAATCGCTTCCTAATGAAAGAAGGAAACAGAGAATCAGATCATACTCAACCTCCAAGAACAGTTTGGCCAATTGAAAAGAGAAGAGTTGATTAAAGACCTCAAGCATTTCTTTTGAAGGTATGTCTAAGTGATTGGTGGGTTCGTCCAACACAAGTAGAGTGGATGGTTTCACCATGAATTTGCAGAATGCAAGGCGTGCCTAAGACCGCAAAAAAATGGCTATGAAGAACATGAATGAGACAATATGAGTATTATACTGAGAGAAGAAAATTAAGCATTATGTTACCTTCTCACCACCACTCAAAAGAGAGACCCTTCTATCCAACATGTCAGCTTTGAAGTTGCAGCGACCAAGAAGAGCTTTAATATCATCAATTCTCCAATCTACAGCAGCTTCAACAACTGTCTCAATCACAGTCTTATCCAAATCTAGAGCCTCTGCCTATAGTTAAAAAGTGAGTAAACCCTATAATTCTGATTCCTCTATTAAGCCCTTTCTTCATGATAGAACAAACCTGATTCTGCTCGAAGTAGTTTGGCAATACATTGTGCTCCCCAAGAATCACTTCACCTCTCATAGGCTTCTCCAAACCCATAATCAGTTTTAACAATGTACTTTTACCGCACCCGTTTGGACCAATTATAGCGACTTTCTCTCCTCTTTCTATCGCTAGATTTGCCTTGTTGAATAATATCTGCTTGCATCAGACACACAGATCAAAACACAAGGCAACGCACAAGCAATAAAACGGACTACCAACAGCATTTTACTAATAATATCATCTCACCTTATCCTCAAAACCAAATCCAAGATTCTTAACAGTGACTACAGATCTTCCGCTTAATCCACATTCCAGAAACCTGATTTTCATTTGTTTCCGCTGAAATGGCTTCTCTATTTGCTCCTCTTCTTGGAGCTTCTCCAGTTTCTGTATATATAAACAGAATTCAAGTAAGTTTCATACATTCTCTGCTTCATAAGTACTAGTTAATAGTTAATACCTTTTCTGCTGAAGAAGCTCGACCAGAATTTGCTCCACCACTAAGTCTACTAATCAAATCCTTTGTTGCTTCAATCTCTTTCTGTTGCTTCTCCCAAGAAGCATACTGAGCTTCAACCCACTCTGCCTTTGAAATTACATACTGAGAGTAATTACCCTCGAAAGTCCTCGAAACTCCCATTTCGGTTTCCACAATTTTAGTACACAACTGATCAAGAAACGCTCTGTCATGTGATATTATAACCATAGGCACATCTTGCTTATTCAAGTAACCTTCAAGCCACTCAATAGTATCAAGATCCAAATGATTCGTTGGCTCATCCAATAGCAGTAAATCTGGATTCTGTTCACAATATCACACATTAGCTAGCTTTCTAAGGAATCACATTCTCAAAGAAAACACATATCTCATTATTACCTGCAGCAAAATCTTTCCAAGTGACATTCTCATTTGCCATCCACTACTAAAAGAAGCCACAAGCCTATCTGCATCCTCCGACACAAACCCTAATTCCGACATCAGCTTACTGATCTTAGCATCGATAGAATCCAAATCAACCTCTTGAGCTCGTCTCTGCAACAAATCGAATTCGTCTAGTAACTTTCCCATTAATTCTAAATCATCAACAGCTTCTTCAATCGCCTTCTGCAACCTCTCAAGCTTCCTGGCTACTTCCATCTCTTCCTTAAACGCACTCATGAACTCTTCCTTCACTGTCTTCCCCATCGAAACCTCGAATTCTTGACTCAAGAAAGCAACTTTCAAATTGGGTTTGGCCCAAATCACGTTTCCTGAATCAGGTTCTTCTTGACCCGTTATGATCCTGAGCTGCGTCGTCTTCCCCGCACCGTTGACGCCGATTAAACCTACTTTTTCTCCTTTCTTCACTTCCCAAGTCACATCCTTTAGCACTGTAACGCCTTCATAGCTCTTACTAATGTTCTCAAGTCTCACTCCAGACGAAATCGAAGACGCACCATTGTTTGATTGCTTACCGATCAGCTTCCGATCCGTAGAGAAGAGAGAATCGAGCTCTGAATTGGAGCTGGTTGCGGAAGCTTGGGCTATAATATTGGGGAATTCTCGTCTAGGGTTAGAAACAGAGGAGAGTTTGAAGGTGAATAGTGTATGGCAAGGAAGAGGATTAGTGAAGAAGAAGGCAGAACGAAGGTTTAAGCTATGGAGATTCGTCGTTAATCCCATTTTTGGTATAATGAAGATATCAAACGATTAAAACGAAGCAATTTGGATTGTTAAAGAAAATGTAATTTTTGACAACAAAACTGAATAAATGACTCTCGAGGCTTCTATAGCGTGTGAGCGAAGAAGTGTCACGAACAAACACGTATGCATGTGAAGCTCAAGGCTCATCAACTGCCACGTGTCAAACCGAATAACCACTATTTTGATTACCACGCACCGGTTTGACAAATCGGGAACTAATTTCACCGGTTTGTGCACATTTTATGTGTGCATTGCTTTGGTTTATTGGTAATTCGTGCATTAATCATTCACCGATATAAATAAGGAAACAAGAACGCTAGGATTAACAATATAGTCACACTTATTCCTAAATTGAATTAATAATTAACTCCAAATTAAAAAGCCACAAAGTACTATATGTCGAAATCGTACAATATGTAAGGTACGTAATTAATCTATGTGACTCTTAAGAAAGAACTATCAATCTAATATTATATTTCCCTAATTAGAATGTCTAGTTACCTTATATACCGGTTCGGCTTAAAACAAATCGCCTTATATAGTGCAAGTGAATCAATAAAATCTTCTCCGATAATCAAAAACTCCAAAAGAACAAATAAACTTTCCATTACAGATTACGACATTAAATTAGAACACTAAAGTAAAAGGTTACTTATAAATGCATACACTCTAATTAATTATACATTTTAGCGTCTTATAAATGAAATCCCACATTTCTTAATTCTTCTTCATTGTTCTAGATTTACATTTTCCACAACAACAACAAAAAAAAGAAGATGATGAAACTCATGGATGGTTTGGCTTGAAAGATCTTAATTTTTGAGGTAAATGTTTCTTCTAGTATATCTCCTCCAATTATGAAAATAAATAAACTATTCAATAACATCTGCTAAAAATGTATCTTCTTTTACTTTGGGCAGATCATTTTTCTCAAGAAAATATATTAAAAATGTACCAAGAAACTTATCAGTATTATCATCTATGGAGACTTGCTGTTCAAGAAAGAGACGAAGCAAGAGAACATCTGAAACAATCACTCGCGGAACTCTCGAGAATACAGGAACACTTCAACACCATTCTTTTGTCAGAAGAACAACAAATAATACCGCATTATTACTCAGAAACCACTGACGAAACCGCCGATCATCAAAACTATAGTTACAATAACTTCTCTAGCGATTCTCCTTCGCGATTCTCGTCCGCATCGTCGATGGATCTCGTCTCTAACTCAACTGTGTATTCCTCGCCGGAGACCTATGATTCTGATTGTTACAGCATCCGGTCGAATCAGATGGGTTTTGCATTTCAGGAAAAGGAAGATTTTGAGACCCTTGTGCTGGAGAATATAGGACTCGGAAGAGTGTTGCCGGAGAATGGTAAGTTCCAGCAAGCTGTCATTGAAGCTGGATCGTTGGTTGAGTCATTGTTCATAACCGGTCCGATTCCAAAATGGAGAAATCCTCCGGTTCAAATGTTGAGTCAAAGACCGGTTCTAAGTAATTCTATTGGAAAATGGAATTATGGTGGTCAGGGGATCCTAAACCGGTCTTTCTCCGGCAAAATGCCACGGTTCAGCTTGATGCCATAAGTTCCCTTGAAATTTGATTTTATCATGATGTTTAACTTTTTTTTTTTGTATTTGGTACTACAGAATTTGATGCAATCAAATAAATCATGTTATCTTGTTTTTATTTATCATCCATAATTTATACATTATAAAATACTGAAAAACAATAGAATTTAAGAAGAATCCGTCTTTCGAGCAAAAGCCTCAAATCCTGTAATAAAGTGCATAAAGGATAAGAATTCATATTCATAAGAACAAGAAGAAGCTAAGTGAATTTTACCTCATACCTTGCAGCACTATCTTCTGTCTTCTTGTGTGGTGGTTGCGTCCAGCTGAGACAGAAGCAGCCACTAGGCGGCGCAGCAAAACTTGAATGTGACTCACCATTCACCATTCACCATTCAGACCTTTGTAACACTGATCAATAGAATCTACAAGGTAAAATAATTCAGAATTTTCATCGTCTAATTCAAGACAAAGAGACTCGTAAAGCCTCATTAACAACATAAGCCATAAACCTGCATCTACATTCAGAATAAAGTGTGATCCTTCAGAGAGCTAAAGATCATTTTATGTAAGACATGAGCACCTCATTTTTGTAAACCTTGAGAACAGACAAATCCATCTTTTGGTGGCACTTGCAGCTCTTCAAATGCACAACTCACCTACACAGAATAAGAGAAGAGCCATTCAGTTTATAAAGAATAAGCAATAACTATATATCCAAAGTTTTGTGATTTTTGAGCAAGATTTTTGAGGTCTCATTGTTTTTGGAAAAATCCACTGAATATAATGTTATATGAGCCGTGAGCTTCTTCACACATCTTTTCGAAAATGGAAAAAAAGGTACTTAACTTGCCAGACAAAATTTAAGGTTAATATATAAATGAAATGCACATATTGTATGTAACTCACTGATTTGATGCATCTGAACTTCGCATTCCATATGGGAAAGAACTATGGTTTAAGCCAATGAATGCTGAATCCAAGTAAAATCATCTGAAGAAACAACATACATGAATAAAAGATTTAAAAGGAATCTCGATTTGAGGTTGATGGTCTTCATACCTTTGAGACTCATTGTGTCACCAGAAATCACTACACGAACATTCACCGTCTTGAAAATGATGAAACCTGTTTGAATCCCTTAGGATTATCTGTCTCCCTTCGATCTTTGATATATGCTTGAAGGCAGAGTGGCAATCACCGCAAACTCTGAGGTTCTTCATTATTCTGATTGGCAGCGTAGAGCTCCTCTGGGCTGCGAGAACAAAAGCTACAGCTAGCTTCTCGCTGTGATAGCTCAGAATCTCTTCCTTGTTCTCTTGCTCTAGATCATACAAGGCAAATCCTGTCTGTGGCACATAACCTGCGTCTCTCATCTTTCTATTGAGCTCCTTGAGCTTCTTGTATATCACATCAGCGTCTGGGTGTGACTTATCCCCAGCAACAAACATATGGACTCCATCCTTCATGGTGACCCAACTATAACCAGCTTCCTTTTTCACATCTGCATCTTTCATTTTCTTTCTCGCCTTTACTAAATCTTCCCATCTTCCTCCAGCAGCATACATGTTACCAAGTAGCACATAGTTTACAGCATTTTCTGGCTCCAGTTGAAAAAGCATTTCTGCTGCTTTCTTTCCTAATTCTGCTTTTCGACCATTTGCTCTGCAGCAAGCCCCAAGTACAGTCCTCCAGATGAGAACATTAGGCTTCATTGGCATTTTCTCGATGAAATCTTCCAACTTATCGAGTTCACCTGCACGGCCTAGCAAGTCAGCCATACATGAAAAGTGTTCAATCCTAGGAGCTAAGCCATAAGAATCACTCATAGATTCGAAATGTTTAAACCCTTCTTCAAGCAGACCGGCGTGGCTACAAGCTGACAAGACTCCCACGAATGTTACATGGTCAGGTGGTGTTTGACCATCAAGCTTCATATTTGCAAAAAGCTTCAAAGCTTCTTCTCCTTGCCCATGTCGTGCATAGCCCGAAATCATAGAGTCCAAGAATATGAATTTCTTACAGGCATTGTGTTAAAAAACCTCAAAGCATAATCTAGTCTTCCACATTTGGAATACATGTCAACAAGTGCACTCCCAACTACCACATCAGATTCTAAACAAGCTCTCACCGAACAAGCATGCACTTCCATGCCACGCTCTAGCGTTGCAACAGAAGCAAACGCGCTAAGAACAGTCGCATACATGAAACTATCCAATCTCTGACCTGTTTGCATCATAAACCAGACCAAATCCAAGGCCTTGGCAAGGAGCTCATTATGTATATACCCGGAGATCATTGAGTTCCAAGTTACATCATCTCTTCTCTCTGACATTCTAGAAAATATCTTCTCACACCCATCCATCTCCCCACACTTCCCATAACAAGCTATAAGCGCATTTTCAGTGGTTGCTTCATCTGCAATATTGTACTTTAAAGCTAGCCCGTGTATCTGCTTGCCCAGTTCGCCGAATGAAAGGGATGACACGGCTGAAAGAACGCTTGAAAATGTTATTCTATTAAGTTTCTGTCCTGCTCGTAGCGCATTCAAGAAACATGCCACGGCTTCAGGTAATGACCGTTCTGAACTAGCTAAAGCTCCTATTATAGAATTCCAAGACACCTGATCATGCTCTGGCATGGAGGAAAATATCTTACGGCATTCATTGAGACAGCCGGTCTCTGCATACAGTGTCATAAGCGCATTTGAAACTGAAACATTCAAATCAATCCCCAACTTGAGGCTTTCTCCATGAATCTGTTGTCCTAATTTTGCCCACTTCAAGCTCGCGCATGAGCTTATCGAACTAATCAGTGTGAAACTTCCAGGCAAGATTTCATGTCGTCTCATACTTTGGTAGCGTTCTACTGCTTCTATGAAACAGCTGTTTTGGTCAAGACCAGTGATCATGGAGTTCCAGGAGACAGAATCTTTCTCTGTCATGAAACAAAAAACACGTCTAGCGTCAGCTATTGAGCCGCACTTAGCATACATATTAACAAGGCCATTTCCAATGCCAACCATGAAGTCAACTAAGCCAGTTGTTATTACATGTCCATGAACCTCTCTGCCTTTTTTCAGACCTACTTCCTCAGCTAAAGAATACTCAGGAAATGAGCTCAGGAGAATCACGTATGACTCAGGACTAACATCAATCATGCTATTCATATCCATAAAGAGCTTAGTTGCTTCTTCTCCCCATTTCTGTCGCACCAGACCAACCATTAGACCATTTAAGGTGACCGCATTTCTTGTTTCCATCTGATTAAAAATCTTCCTAGCATGAATCAATGAGCCAGACTTTGCAAACGCACTCACCAGTCCGCTGCCAACAAAAAGATCTGTGAGAAAACCAGATTTCTGGATGGTGCACATGATCTGCTCGAGTAAACGAACATCTGGTTCAGTCAAAGAACAAGCAGTAGTTACAAGACTACCAAAAGTGTATTCAGTTGGTCTAGAACCATCGCATTGCATGCTATAGAACATTTTAAATGCAAATCTCTGATCCCCAGTCTGTGAATAAACCGAAATAATCGAATTCCATGATACAGAATTCTTAACTTGTACGTCATCGAAAGCACGGAGAGCATAACCGAGAGACCCTCCGCATTTCCAGTACATCGATATGAGCACATTAGAAACAACTGCATCCACTGCATAAGAAAGTTTGAACAACAGGCCATGAATTTGTCTCCCGAAAAGAATCCCAACAGAATCTAACTCCTGACAAGCTCGAAGCGCACTAACAAAAGCGTAATGATTTGAAAAAACTCCTTCTTTAACCATATCCCTCAAGAACACTAAAGCTTCCTTATGTTCTCCATTACGGCTATACCCTGAAACAACACACGCCCAAGAAACACAGTTCCTAAGAGGCATTTCGTCAAACACCTTACGTGCAGAAACAGAATCACCCGTTTCAAGATAAGCATTGATGAGGTTGTTGCACAAGTAGACATCTTTTTCTAACCCATTTTTATATAATCGGGAATGGAAGAGTTTAGCAGCTCCTCTATGTCCAATGCAGCTCTGAACAAAAGAAAGAGGAACAGACTTGGTCATCAACAATCTCAATACTCCAAAATCAACAACAGAGTTTCGTTAAATGGAGATGACTTACGTTTAGAAACGACATGAGGGAAGCTAAATCAAATCCAAAACCCAAAAGAATAATTTTCGCGCGAGAACATACAAACAGATCCTCAGCGGACGTTAACTGGACTCAAACGTCGACGTTTCGCTTCACAGAGATTCTTTCCCTTTCCATAATTTTAATGGGCTTTATTAGTGAGCCCAATACGGACCAGTAATGGTTTCAGCATTTCTAGCTCTTCTAGACTTCTACAATAGAATTTGAAATTACCTTTATGCCCCCAACATCATATCCGTGATGGCATTCTCGTGATTATTACACACTACCTCGGACTTTCCGTAATTATTTAGTAGTACACAGTTTCATTGTCCCAGAAAGGAAAAAAAAAACGAAATAAAATTCAATAGTGTGATTGGTATAATTTCGAGCTGTTTTTTTGCTGTATTAATATCGCAGTTTTCTTTTTTTTTGGCTTTTAATTAATTCTGTCTGTCCATCTTCTTCTCTTTTGCTAGTAATTATAATCATCAGCTAGAGAAGCAGGAAAAAAGGACTAAAATCTCTCTGGTTCTCTCTATCTGTTGAATCAAACCTTATGGAAGGCGATCGAAAAGAGGTATAAACATCTTCTTCTTTTTCATCATCTGTTTTTTTTTTTTTTTTTTTCTATTAGGGAACTATGATTTTACTAAGAAATTGAGATCTGCTTGGATTTCGTCGGGAATTGAAAATGAGGTTTTAGCTAAACAAGCTCCAAGCACTACTGATACTGGTAATCGGAAACAAGTATTGAGTTAGTACTATATTCTAAAAGTTTCGTCCTTTTTCACATCTCGATAAGCTGAAAATTTGTCATCACGAGGTATATTTTCTACTTGGTAATTTCGACGAAACTTTATTGGATTGATAAAAAGATCTTACTTTACCCAGATTTTATCGATCATTGAATAAATCAAAGCTTGTAAATTTTCCCATAAAGTCAAGAACTTGACTTTGTTTCTTAGCGAATTCGTCCTCTTCTTCTTCACTTGCTCATGATGCATCGTTTTGTAAATAGCTCTGTTTTTCTTTTTTAAAGACTAATGCATCAAAATATGAAACCTTTTTAAATTAAGTTAATGTTCGAATTGTGTTTTTGTTTTTTGCAGAAGAACACTCCGTGGCTATCAGTGCCACAGTTTGGTGATTGGGACCAAAAAGGAGGAGGAGGAACAATGCCTGATTACTCTATGGATTTCACTAAGATTAGAGAGATGAGGAAACAAAACAAGAGAGACCCTTCTCGAGCCAGTTTAGGCAATGAGGAAGAACTCATTAAGCCACCCGAGTCAGCAACATCAACTGCTAATCTCACGACGGTCCAGAGCGAAAACCAACGAGAGTTCTCTCCCAGCCACCATCACCACCAACCACATTCTCCTTCTGTAAGATTCCAAACCATTTTTTTGTTTCTATGATTAATACAAACATTTGCATTTGCGTTTATATCATATTATTCCTTACTTCATTGATGAGGCACATGGTTTTGTAACAAAATTTATCTATATTTTAGGGTCCAATTTTTCTTGCAATCTATATGTTAAAGATTGAATATAGTTGTATTGAGCTGGTCGTGATTATTTATCACTGTGGAATAAGATGAGAATTTGGTGTGGTTGTTTTTACAGACGAGGAGAAGCATTTTCAGCTGCTTCAACTGCTGCGTTAAAGCTTGAAGATTTCTTCTTGAGCAAAGGAGCAGTTTTATTATTCGACTGTGGAAATGTAATGTCATGACTCTTTAATGTATGTTTCAATCCATTTCTCTCTTCTTTATTTTCCTTGGGAACCATATAAGCTCTATTACAAGGAAAAGATTAGGGGGGAAATTAAGCTACACAATTAATTAGTACTCTGTTAGTCTGTTTGTTTAGTCTAAAGAAAAACATGGACAGTGATCCGAATGAAAAGTATTACTGGCCACTAAAACATAATCGTCTCTTTGAAATACGCAATGGGCCTGTAGACTAAACAAAAATAAAAAAGGCCTTTCTTTGAATTTTAAAAAGGGCTTTAATATAGCCCATCAAGTATCTTCATGCATTGGAGTTGGAGTTTTTCGGGGTTTAATTTGACTGAATTCGAAACGGTCCTAAAAGCCCAAAACAAACGAGGTTGTCTGCCAAACTGGAAAAATAAATTATGGAACGGTGAACTATTTTTTAGTTTTTTTTTTTAACGTCTGAATTTATTATTTATTATTTATTGTAAATTATGAGAACTGTTACATAGACGATTCTACAACGGACAATTCCTTCCGACCCTTATTAGATCCACGACAGACGACACCTTCTTCACCTTCTTTTTCATACTCACCTCCTTCACCTCTTTCTTTTTGCTCTTGATGGACACTTCCCTCTCTGCGTAGAATCCTGTCGAACGGCTATAATTGTACATCGCTGGAGATCTCCTGCACACTTGCCTCCAATAATCTGCAAATTTATTAATAAATCGCAGTATCCGGGACTCGAACCCCAGACTTCTGGGTATAGAAGCATTAATTAACCCTTGTTCAACCAATGGGCCAAGAGAGCTTCCACAAACTATTTTTTAGTTTATGTTTTAACTTTTAACTTTTAATATAAGATTGAATATTTATTTTAAAATACTTAGATTCAGGGGGTGTATTGAACTTGATATTGTAGAAGATTTTAGGCTATTCTTAAAATCACCTGTTATTCAATGAGTAACATGTGATTTTGAAATATATGACGAAAGCAACATTGATTTAATCTCAAATGTGATAGATTAGCAAAAACTATTATAAAAGATATGGGTGGAAATGATGGAAGATTAAACTTGTATGATGTGTGATGTTAAAGTCTCTCAATAATTCCAATAGCATCATGTTAGTGTGCATGTTAAAAAAGACAGAAACCGTAATTTTTCAAGACACAGAAACATTCATTTATGTTTCATAATTCATACACCAACATCATTTATAAACAAATTTTCATGGTGGTTGTGAATTTGTATACAAATGTTTCACTGTCTTGCTTCGAAGTGTGTTTGGGTTTCTTACTTTTGCAGTTGAATTAACTTGGATTTGGGGCAACAAAAATATTGATTGAAAAAAACACACACATGCTTATCGTATAGTCTTATTTGGACAGAGGTCGAAGTAGCCCAATTGACATGTCTATACTTTGCCTAAATTATATGAAAAGTTGGCCCCTACTATCGTGACGACGTGGCAGGGATGACGAAATTGTCGACTGTCAACAACATCATATGTTTAGTCTTGTTTCAGCCCAACTCCCATGTCCCTACCTGCCTTAGGTTTATTTCTCGTTATATATATGGAAACCAAATTTTAATCGCAGTGGTGTAAAAACTATGTCCCAAATGGTGAATATAAAACTTAACCTACACAAAAATAATTATTGATAGCCGACTAACTAGTGGGATAGTTGTTTGGGGTCCAAAGATTTTAGGATAAGCCGATTAGAACACCACCACAAATTGTCCATTAATTGATGTACTTTGTAACAATATGTCAACGTCATTCAAATATATGAAATCTCGGACTTATATCATGAATTCTACTTGAATTAGAAGTAAAAATACGATTTATTCTCGTTGATCATGTGTCTACATATTTTCCTTGCGTACACAACACATAACATGTGGACGACCAAAGCCTTTTCCAATTCTTTCTTTCAAGAAGTCAGAAGGTTTAAAACGTTCTGACCAAATCAGACGGACTCTCGTTCAAAACTGACACGCTTGAGCGGTTGAGCCAACATTGCACAGAGAAACTTGTCGGTGAGGTCAAAGCGTTCATAAGATAGTTTTTTCCTTGGAAAATTTCACGTCACGGTTTTTATGATTCACTTGTCGCATTAATTATACACTCTTGGGCATGTTGAGATAATGTTGCTTATACCTTAGTTATCGTGCCCTTTGAATCATAGCCACCATTTCAATTTAGATTTGTCCCATCACGTATCATTAGATTTTCTTAACAATTAAGCCTGAAGTATCCAAAAATACTCTTGCTTAAAATGGTAATTAAGTTAGATTAACGTGAAATTTGTCGCCAAGTCGTAGAGTTTATATATACTTAGCTCAATAAAGATGCATACTGTTTTAGTTTTATTGTGTTTTACATATAGAAAAGTCTTCATATACTATCAATAGTTGTACCTGAATCTTAAAAGATTGTGAAACAAAGATCGAATTTCTAGGATCCATATAGAAAGGTACAATGTACTTTGAGTACTTAGGGGACATTAGGATGGTTCATGCATGTCTCCTATCATTTACTCTTATTTGTCGACCCGCCCCATTCCCTGCCAAACCTCCCTTCTTCACCATTCACACTTTTTTTATTTTCTTTGACCATTTAAAATTTTTATTATATACATTAGTTAAAGAAAACAAAATGAGAAACACCAATCCATTAACTTTCCATATAGATGAAGTCTTTTTGTATAGATGTTGAGATTCAAACCTATTACCTAATATGTTAAGCATGAAGAATGGATGATTTGGTGCCTCAGCCTCTAAGATTCAACCCCGGATTCCTCTAACTTTCACCAATTTGTTAGGCTTTTTATTCAATATATTCTTAAGCATTATCTTCAAAGAAAACGGTAAACGACGAGCTAGAAATATGCAACATACAAATTGCATGAGACGTTTAGTTTACTGGTTTTCTAATGTAATTTGATTGTCTCTTGTTCTTATTATTGAAGATTATATATTCTCGTAAAGGCAAATTGTTTTATGTGAATTATGTGAAACGCCATTTGCTTAGTCTAACGCTTAAGTAAAAATCTAGTGTTCTACATCATGTTTCGAATTAGATTTATGTTCAAAATGTGCGATTTGTTTTTACATATTATGAATGTAACAGTTGGTTGCAATATACGTCCTATAGAATTTTGATTGAGCATTGAGCCGTTCTATTGAGTAATTTGAATGTTGAGATATATTTAGGTTATGTATTTGCAAATTAAATACTTATATTTGTACGTCGTAAACGATAAATCATATAAAATATTTTTTTTTTGGTAAGGAATCATATAAAATATTTTATAATATGATAAATGATGGTAAAATAGGAAACCGGTTCTTTTTTTTTTTTTTTAATCAAAAATAGGAAACCAGTTCAATTACTTAATGTCATTGGTACAGATAAATTGGTTGCTTTCTCTTTTTGGTTCTCGATAAAAGCTTGTGATCAACGAGTTTTAATTAACAATATCGTTACTTTTTGTAACAAAATAGCGATAAAAATGTTAAATTAACCGCTTATTAAATATATTGTAGTGATTGGATAAATATATTAATTTATTAGTGATCGATCGATAAATTTACTATTTAACAAATCGATTATACAAAATAAGAAAAACCAAGCGATATTGAATATAGATAAACATATACATCGTGTGTGTTTTTCGTGTTTGGTATACAATCGCTGATTAAATATATTGCGGCGATCAGATTAAAAAGATAATTTATTAGTTATCGATCGATAAATCTACTATTTAATAAATTGCCTATATACAACAAAAAATGTCAAAGGATATTGAATATAGATAAATATATACACACGTCTGTATTTTTCAGAGTTGGGATAGACAAAAACCTAGAACATTTATTTATTCTTTTGCTATCCTAATTTTTTTTATCAGCCCTATATCTTAAATATCTTAAGTTGTACAAAAATGTCTCCTTATCTCTTCCACTTTAAAATTACTTATTCATCAAATTTTAACTCTAGAACTACATAGTTTCTTAGCAAGAAGATATATATATATATATATATATATATATATATATATATATATATATAGTTCCTAATTATACTTTTAAAACTACTCTTATTAAAAGGCATAATTCCGTTCTACTCAAACTCAAGTAATATATGAGATAATTAATCAGGGCAAGTATCTCGTTGCACGTCACAACACTCTAAAGCCCACTCTTTTTTTTTTTTTTCGACTGAATGATTCAATATATTGATAACTTGAGGAAATCAGATTACAATCCGATCAAAAAGATGAGGATCCAAGACAATCACCTACACTGAAGAGAATACAAAAGCAACCACAACTAAGTAGTAGACATCTCTTCATTGAACAAATCATGTAACCAAAAAGGGTAGCCCGAAGCTACGTATGATTGTCGACGATCCTCTCTTGTCACACTTTGAGCAATAAGGAAGGCTCCTTTGTTAGCACTTCTCTCTTCAAACTGAATTTTCCAAAAAGGAATGTGACTGAGTGCAAATGCAAGGGACTCTGACTGAGACTTAAAAGAGGGCCATGCGTCGGGACGGAGAGCCACGTCCATAAGGTATTTATCTTCAACAGCCAGCACAAATCTTCTAATCCTTAGGCTCCTCATACTCTCCAAAGCCCACAGCCAGCATTCCAATTCAATATCTTGCTTTGACTCCATCCCGCCGAAAGATCGTCTACTATGGAGCAAAACCTCACCTCTTGAATTTCTAAGAACCCATGCGCCTCCACCAATTCTGTTATGTTTATCCCAGGACGAAGCAATGTTGCATTTAAGCCATGAGTGATCGGGAGGCTTCCAAAGTTTGCGGCCACCAGCCCCAACTCTAGCAGATTTAAACTCTTCTTCTTTCTCAACTTGTTGGGCTAAAAACCACTTCTCAGAGTCATCCAGTACCTTAGTAACAATGTCCAAAGGATGGAAAGTCCTACCTTCAAAGAGAATACTGTTCCTGTTCTTCCAAAGGATCCAAATAATCCAGGGGACAGATCTTCTCGATGCAATAGGTAGCTTTAAGTCTTTAGCCATCAGAAGAACATAATGCACATTATGGAACAAAGAATGATCCTCAAAACCATTAATCGGAGAAGGAATGTTGGAGAGAGCCCAAATCTGTCTTGCAAGAGGACAAAGAAACAACAAGTGGTTTATTGATTCTCCT